TCATCAAACTAAATGGGGGAGTTTCCAGCATGCCATGTTTGATTACCGCAGACCAGAGGGTAGCTATTCTTAGTATGAATTATATATTGTGAAGCAACCAATTTCGAGACTATGTGTATGTATATATATATATATATATTGTCTTATCCAAGTATGTGCCACACACAAAAAACGCCCAACCATGTTTTGCCATTGTTTTTTTTTGCCAAAAACGCATACAACATATACTTGTTTGGCATACTGCAAGGTTTTTTTCTTCCTGCTAGTTTGTTTTGGTGCAGAAAAGAACTAACACATACTAATACCATCCCCCTATCTAGAAATCCCCTGTGAATTCGCTCGGAAATAAATACAGTAGCTCCAATTCGACCAGGGAGTTCGGTTGGGGATATGAAATCTCACAGGGGGAAGGGATTCATTTCTTGATTCAGCTGCAAGAAACTTCCAGCGGAGCGGCTTCCTCAGCGCCAGGCGGAGTGTGAAGACCAGTCTAGATGTCGGAGATTGAGCCGAGTGCGTGGATGCGGAGATTGAGCGAAAAAAATGCCGCGGGCCGCGGAGCAATCGAAATAACATCGTTTGAAATGAACATACATAACTGAATATGATGATACCGTGAAATCCCCTTTTCGTGGATTATGATATATTCCAAGGTATTGGGTTCAGCAATCCCCAGATTCAGATGGTGTTTCCAGGATGCTTTTTGATGATACTTACCCTCTGGTAAACTATGGAAAATTACCATCTTTAAGTTCGGTAAATCAACTATTTCTATGGACCATATGTTCAATAGCAAACTGTTAAATTACCAGAGGGTACCTCATATTTCCAGCGATTTCCAGCTTTTCTATCTATCTTGGGGGTTACTATAAGCCCCTATAAGATCTTCATCCCAGGGCGAGGTCAAATCTTTAAAGCGTTGCGGGGCGTGACTTGGCCCGTTCTTGGAATGTGAATGAAATTATGGATACGATATGGAGATACAATTTAAGACATATGGATAGTTTTTGGATCTAATGAGATTTTGACATTCACATATGACATTATGACATATTATGACCCTATATGGCCATATAATTAGGGCATATTGGCATATACCCATAGGATCCATGTATGCTATATATGGTAACATATGGTAACATTTACCATCAATATACCGCAGTCATGTTAGCATATATACCAGCACCATGGATCCTATGGGATAGGGATTGGTCAACACCTATGACCATACAGGGTGCTTCGCCGATAGCGGTTTTTTCGGGCTCAAAACACCACCTGTCGAAAGCCAAGCCTGGGGATCGCCAGGACCTGCGTGACAGGAGTTACCCGGCCTGGTAAACTATCGGTTTGCGAACTGGAAAATCACCATGTTTAAAGGGTTTGCTATGGAAAAACACCATGTTTAAAGGGTAAATCCACTATTTCGACTGGGCCATTTTCCAGTTTGGAAAGTGTAAATGTTTACCAGGCCGGGTAAGCAACAAAGAATTGGAATTTCACCAGGATGAATTTCACCAAGTGCATGACGAGTTGATTGTCAGCATTACATGGATATGTTGCTAATTACATATATGGGTCATGCAGCTAAATTCCCTGGAAAATCCCAAAAATTGGTTGCACCCTCCAGAAAAACAGGCGACAGGTGTTGGTAGATATTCCAAAGCTAGAGTAGCTAGAGCATTTGGATTCGTTTCTGATCGGCGTCAAGTCATTTAAAAGAAAGGAACATCCGAGAAAAATGTATAAGATTGAGACATTTTGAGACGGGCTTCCCGGGATGCTTCAAATGATTCTGTCGGTGTTCTACTTTCCATCGATGAATCTAAGTCAACCACTTGCAAGTACGAAGCATTGCCAAAAGCAAGTAATTATTGCATTTGGCAAACTCTGAGAAAACATGTTTTTTGGGGTTTTACATGGTTTTACCATTTTACCAATTCAGTTTCACTTGAAGCATCAATGACTGCATGCTTCAACCCTGGCAGGATGCCTAACAAGGAGAAACTCGCCAAGAAGAATGCGTGCCTCATGGGGCTGGTGGAAGGTTGCCTCCGGTAGCCTGACCTATCCAGAGAACATTTCGAAAAACATATCCCGTGCATTTTATGATACGCATATATATATATATATATATAGATAGTTATATATTATATACAAAGCAATATAGAACATATCATGTCATAGACTAGTTTGTAGACCTTCATATATATATATATGATAATCTTTTTCATATAACATATTTCATAATATATATATATATATGATATATGTATATATATATACATATATTATAGATATACTATATACTATATACTGGTTGTATATGTGTAGCTTGGTCTCCAACTTGCTGTCGATTTTCAAGTCATCCCCACGGGCTGTTAACACAACTTCGTGAAGACTTTCTTCGATGGACCAGCACAGTTGTACATTAGAAGTGCAAATAAGTACTGAATATATCAATTCAATATATTCAACAGATTCAATATAGATTCCAACTGTTGCAACCCACTTCCTAGATGAATCTTGGATCGACTTCTGTCCGCTGGACGTCCTTTGAATCGTTGTTCCATTGTCCCTAAATGATCCCAAGTGAAAGGGCCCAACAACCCAACCGAAAGCGACAGGTACTTCGCCAAGCTCGTTGACCTTTGCGTGAACACACCCAATGCACTGCTTGTGAGTTACATGGCCGGGTTTAGCTTTGCCATAGGGCCACTTTGGGGTTCCGGGCTTCCAGGGGTGTGCCAGCGTTACTGGTTCAGCATAAACTTAATTATTTGGATCGAATGGAAAGCAGCTTATGAAGCAATGGCTAACATTCTGAGACGAATAGATTTTCCCACAGTTCATTGACTTTTGCGTACTCTTGCGTGTAATGCTGGTAAAGCAGTAGTAAGCCATCTCCGAATCTACCATGTATACATGGATATAAATGGGTGGTATAAACCATCAACATATGGGTGGTTGATTATTGCTTTTTACTAACAACCCAATATCTGAACTTCATGTCAGCCTCCGGAAGCTACAGGTGTTGACAACATTTCCTCCAAGCAGATGCAGGAGACGGTTCTGGTTGACTTAGAGGGAGCAAATAACTTGCAATGTTGGGGTTTTTATCCCACCCAGTTTGGTAAATTGCAATTAGTGTATCATAGAATAATATTGTTTATCTTTAGTTGCTGTAACTACTTACTGGTGATATATAGATTTCGGACATGGAACGGAAAAAACACACGGGTTGGATGGTTGTTGATGGTTGCTTCCCCCTGATTGGGTGATGTGAACAATCAGGAGCGATTTCCGATTATATACTACACTCCGTGATCATCATTTCCATGGCTGGGAAATCTTCTAAAAACACTGAGGTTTTTTCACATACCATCATTGATCCATCATATCCATCATCTATAAAAATCGGCTGGAAATCCGGCTGGAAATCCCCATATCAAAAAATGGAGGTTTTACTCTCTGGTTATGACGAACAGTTCGCCATGGAACATCACCATGCTATTAATAGGTAAACCATCTATTTCTATGGGCCATCTATACCATGGCTATGTTAGTCATAACAAGAGGGTAATGGGGAAGATCATCGAACTAAATGACGGAGTTTCCAGCCACGCCAGCCATGGAGCTGATCTGATTGATCTGCCGCAGGACATCCGATTGGAGCTGCGAGGAAAGGCTGTGGTGCTCATGGGTATCTCAACTGCGATCTTTGCGGACGAAAAGATGACCAAAAAGTATATTAGTCATATAATGTCATACATACACATATATATATATATACACATATGTATATGCATATTTATATATATAATATTTAGATATAGATTGTGATTTCTCATTTTCTTATGTTTTACTTACATCGATCATTGTGTTCCATCCTATTTGAGATGATCCTCATGGACCAGATGGCTATTTTTGGGATTTGGGGTTGATCCTCACCGACCAGATGGCTGGGTAAGCATTGCTATAGCCGCAAATGGTTGGATCATGTTGGATCCAATTCCTAGCAGTAGATTGTAATATATTATACATCTATATATACATCTACATATAGAGTTTATTGTTTGCATGCTATACCGTGCATATATATATATTAATTTCAATTCATCTTATATTTTCATGTTGACATCAGATCAAAATCCGTCATGACTCTGCCATGAATTTCACCCTCTTCTCCGCCATCCCCGGTGCCGAGGCAAGAACACCATGATTCGCAAGGCCCTGGCGAACGGCCACGAAGAGCACCCCGAGGTGCACGTCAATTTCGCAAGGTCCACGATGGTGGTAGATGTTAATGGGGATGTTTCAACAACAACAACAAGAAGAAGAACACGTGTATAGCCATGGAACAATAATCATCATCACCATCTTTAAGTTCGGTAAATCATCTATGAATGGTCCATTTTTAGTCGCAAACCGTTAGTTTTCTGGAGGGTACCTAACAACAACAGGTGGATGTAGGGCTGATAAAACTGGGAAATGGGGTTGTGACCATCATTTATAGGGCTCTAGTTATCAACAATGGGGATATATAGTTGGCTGATAAGTGATGCTATATGATATACTATATATGGTTGGATATTGATAAATGATGGGTTGGCTGATGATTATAATGATAGTTATCATTTATAGGGATGACCATCATTTAATGGGGATATATAGTTTGATAAATGATGGTTGGCTGATGATTATACAGGGTTATAGTACCCAGTATATTGGGGATCATCATAGTGAATCCATATTAGTCAGCCATTTTACTGGAATGACAAGACCGTTTTGAACGCTGCTTCTGGATTAATTTCTGGGAATGTGGATTTACTGTAACCAGGAAGAATGGCGGTATAAAGATATGTACATACATATATATATAATATTAAGGATATATAATGGATGTACAGGGATATCATTCTTTTTTCAGGGAAGATGCCATGTGGCTTTGACGGCTATGAGTCCCCCGGTACTATACTCTTTTTGTTCACTTTGACCCATGGGACCGAAGAAGCCTTTTTCAAAAGCCATCCCCGCTGAATGTTTCCAATTTTGTGTGGGATTACCATTCAAAATTGGATCATCCAATGTGGGATTCGTCCAATGGTATAATATTAATGAATAGTGCTTCTTAATGGTTATTAATGGTTAATAACACGTATTCTGGTTGGTGATTTGGAACCATGGAATTTTGAATGACTTTCCATCATATTGGGAATGTCATCATCCCAACTGACGAAATCATATTGTTCAGAGGGGTGGCTCAACCACCAACCAGATGTTTATTCTTGAGATTACCACATGACATTGGCTGGGAATTATATGGAATTAAGAGTTACCTAAAGAAATATAGCACAGCACGACGTCATTGTAAATGATGGACAGGATTGGGGGAATCATCCCTAACTGCTGAACTTGACCCAAAATCTATTGGATTCCGATGGTATAATTTAGCTACAAGACTGTGATTTGGGGCAAAGGTAGGATCTCTCTCTCTCTCTCTCTCTCTCATGTGAAAACAATCTTATACCATGTACAGATATTCTTACAGGGATGACTAGGGTCAGGGAAGGAATATGAAACAGCAGACGTATTGCTGAATGTTGTGTGTAAGAAGACGTGATATACTGGTGATGGCATGGCAGCCAAACATTTGAGAACAGTTGAAGTAATTCTGATATTTTCTGAACATCACGTCAAATGGATTCTTGAATGGTGCATAAACATGGTGTTGCCATCACATTATCATGTTTGTTAGATGTGCCATGATGTGCCAAATTTATATATATATATTATACAATAATATGCACACATGTCGCGCATGAAGATCTACCAAGAACTGGCTGTATCTCCAATCTCGGTGCAGTCAGCCGCCACCAGGCTGGCCTCGATAAGCTGCGCGCCATCATCCAGGGCAACCTGGGCTTCATTTTTGCCACGATGCTGGGCCAGGAATCGGATCCCGTGACAAAGCCACGAAAAAACGAAGTGAAACTGGGGTGAACTTCCAATGCTGGGCATAGCGGGATAGCATGGGTCAACGGCTGGGCATTGGGATATCATCAAATAAACTATGAAACATATATATATATAGTTTGTTAAATTCCCATGTTGGTTGATAAGACTGGTTGGACTCCCCAATTTTTTCTAGTTCAATCTCTATGTGGGAATGGTATACCGTATACTTCGTTTTCATGCACATGTTTGATGATGTTTGTTTGTTGCATCTCAAGTTTCTGCATTTTTGATGGTAACCCGTTACCCTCTGGTAAACCAACAAAAACTATAGAAAATGACCATTTTGAATAGGTAAAAATCATTGAACTAAATGGTCCATTTTCCATCGCACACCGTTAGTTTACTGGAGGTTAGCGGTGAAGTTTCCCAGTTTCCCACCCAGTTTCTGCGGTGACTTCTGAGGAATTGCACCACGGATGATATCCGCGATGTCTTGGGCAAGTACAAGAGGGAATCTGCAGCAAAGGCGGGGCAGCACCCTGGCATTGAAGCGTAGGCTGGGATGGGTTTGGAATGGTATGTTTCGGGAGGATTTGGAGACGGTATCATGGAATCTTACATAGAAACCTGAATCATTCCGGGTATTTAGAAGTGGATGTTTAACGATGTTTACTTAATAAAGTGTGAGCAGGTTGCCTTCACGTGCAAATTCTCCGTCCTTGATCTTCCAACCTTTCGAATGTGTGGATTGCATCGACCGGAGATGGGCTCAAGAAAGTGTATTCCAAATTGCCCCCAAAATAGCATGGTTTGATTATACCTTCCTGTAAATGTCTACATAAACTAACATTTTCCGATGAAAGAGAGTCGCCACTTTCCGATCACTTTCCGAAAATCCCTGCTGGTTGGTGGTTTCAAACATGGCTTTTATTTTCCATTTCATATATGGGATGTCATCCCAACCCCATTGAGGTTCATATTTTTCAAAGGGGTCGGTCAACCACCAACCAGTCATTATTGATCATTCTTGACCACTATTAACCTGGTTGGTGGTTTGGAACATGGCTTTGATTTTTCCCGTCATATTGGGAATGTCATTATCCCAACTGACTTTCATATTTTTCAGGGGGGTAGGTATACCACCAACCAGTCATTATTGATCATGATTCACCAGATTACCACATGACATTGGCTGGGAATTATATGGAATTACCCTCTGGTAATTTAACATAGCTATTGAAAATGGCCATAGAAATAGTGGATTTTCCCATGAAAAATGGTGATGTTCCATAGCTATGTTATTTTACCAGAGGGTATATGGAGTGATATGTTCACCAGGGAATCCCTGGTTTTCCCAGATCTTTTCCACCGATCCGGCGGGTTTTCCTCCCGAGGACGTCCATCGTCGACTGGTTCATCCCCTCGGGGCCCACTGGGATGGACCCCTCCCAGACCTCCTTCTTCCAGGCGCTGAAAAAAAAACCGAAGGGCGGGGTCACCGATGAGACAAGAAATGTCAAGAACTCTCATGGTTTTGCTGGATGTTAATGGTGAATGATGGTTAAACTCATGGTTTGAGCAATGAAATTGTTGATGTTTTGAATAACCAATGGCTAATGGTTAGTCAATAATAATAAACATGGCTAACAATGCTTAATTATAATCATTATCGGTCATTAATGGCTAATCATTAATGGTTAATAGTGGCTTATTGACAAATGGTTGCTACCTCAATTTCTTGTGGGTTGCGCTCGACTATAGATGGGAGATTTTCCAGCCACGGAGCTGATTACTGGAGGGTACCCTTTGGTAAACGTTTACATAACTATGGAAAATCACCGTTTTCAATGGGAAAATCCACTATTTCTACGGCCATTTTCAACAGCTTTTTGTTTGTTTACCAGAGGGTATATCAACTGCTTTACTGGGGAGTACGAAAAGATCCATAGGGATTTCACGAAAAAATGGCGGAACAAATGGACTAGTTGAATGGGTAAATGGTTCCCGGATGTTCCTGGATTGAAGTACAGTGTTTGGATGTGACTATATAGTTTTAAGATGTTGCAGCGCTTCTAGTTGTTGGACATCTTCTGGATAAACCAACAAGTATGGTACTTTGTAGGTGGAACATGGATAAGCGTATGTAAGTTACCTTCAGTTGCTATCAATGGGGGAAAACGGTTGGTGAATGCTGTGTGTGTGTTGCTATAAATTTGGAGAATGTGATTCATACTGGAGGCTATCTGAGAATCTGAAGCATGTTTGCTGGGACTCTGGTATTTTGGTAGGTCACATATTTCAGTTGATGCTGGTGGCGCATGCAACTTTATGCACCTAGTTCCATTCCTGGGATGATGAAAGGACATAGGAATATGACGTCTTGCCGTTTTTTGGTGTTTGCATGGGCATTTTTCACTGGGAAATCGGCAAATCTCCACCTTACCGGCCACCAAGCGAAATCTTGGGATAGCTGTAGGCCTTGAACATCGGTACCAAGATCGTAAAGGGACAGATCGAATTGGTGAGCGACTTCAAGATCTTGACAGTGCCTTGGCACAGCGAAACATGAGAGGAAGATGGGGGAAACCCTGAAAACATCATTAAAAAATCCACTGGTTGGTTTGGTTTGGTTTGTTGGTTGTTTGTTTGGTTGCTTGGTTGGAAGGTATGGGTAGAATCGGGTCGGTATGCGTTAGGGTGCCATGGGATGATCTAGAAATGTCCAACCAGATGCCAGGATGATCCCTGCTATATAAATTATAAGTAATATCTGGACATACCGGTATACCCCATACCTTAACGAGACTTCCTAAGAATCCAATTCTGAAGTGGTTTATTGATCCATATGGAACATAACACAGAAGATGAATAAGAATGAAGCAGAATCTACAACGGTAACCCATCCATCATACACTACAGTAACTTCCCGTATCATCGGATCTGCTCGGCTTAGACTGGCGAGAGGGTCACTGCCTCTGGCGCCGTCTTGTTGAGCAAGTTGGGCATCCGACCTTTCGAGTACAAGATGGAGGCGAGAATGGCGAGAGTGCCGGCGGGCAAGGTGGACATGGAGTAGTGGTTCTGTATCCAATGTACTGTTAGTATTGTTAGTATTGATGCAGTTATGTGAGCCACCGCAAAAACCCCGGCAATACTAAATATGTATTGGACGGACATTGGTTTATGGAAATTGATGGAAATGGCTAAAAACACACGGTAAGCGATGGGACCTTCCCAAATTAGCGATACCCCTTTTCAAGGTTGTGTCATTGTAGTTCTCTATCCACATTAGCGATACCCAAATTGGACATTGATGTCTGTGAATTATATATAAAACTGTAGCAGTTTCCTGCAAGCGATACCCCCCAAGTTTACCATATATCATTATTGTACAAACGTGTGGTAAGCGATGGGACCTTCCCAAATTTGTTGATGTCCTTTCCGTGAACCTAGGGTTTTCGAGATTGCTCATGTATGATTATCCAATATCATTATTATATTGTATTATATATATATATTATATTATATATTGTATTAGACATTACACAGTATCATATATCATCATATTTGATAAATGATATATATATATATATTTATATACATATAATATCACATATATATATATATGTACATATATAAGATACCCAGATTAATGGAATATCTCCACTGGATTATGGGATGAAATATGGGTTATATGTGACTTTTCTCTCCAGGTGAAGTATGTCTTCCAGGATGGTGCGGTCTTCAGCGCAGCGGTCTTGGACATGTCCGAGGCGCAAAATCCCAACCTTTCATGGGAAGATCATGGGAAAAAGGGTGGAATATATATATATATATATATTTGTCTACGAAACCCCCTATAAATGGAGGTTTGAATTTCAAATGGGAAAATCATGGCACAACATAGTAGATTCTGTTAGCCATGAATGGAATTTATCATGATTTCTTCCTCCGAAATGTGGATTCTTTTACCAGAAAAAGGCTGGATCAACCGTGGAACATTGGCGATTTTGGTTGGTATCAGCCAGCATGAAAGCGACTTGTCCAGAAACAGTGGGCACTGAATATTAAAATGATTAGATCAACTTGACATGTCCGACATGAGGATATGACCTAGCGAAAAGTAGGTGCAAGGGTTTGTTTTGTGGTTGTACCCATTTTGTTGGTGTGTGTGTTTACATCATCAAGTTGGAGGTACCTACCATATATATGCCCTCAATTTCATGGCTATGTATATAAGGGGATATGCCCCAAACATATGGCCTGAAAAATGGTACAGTAAGTCCATCTTAAGGTCCTGAAATTTCCATTGACATCATGCAGATATAACTTTCTAGAACAGCTGGTTAAAGGTCTTTATGATTTATGCTTATCCGCTGACACAATTCTGAGTGAACAGACTCCTGGGTAGAAAAAAATGGGTTTGTTTTTGGCCTGTGATGACGCGGTACCATGACTCACACCAAGCTATTCTTTGTACATGTTATACAGAGAAGACCAGCTATGTTAAATCCTAGTCTTGATGTTTAAGTCGACATGGTTGATGCTTAAATCGCCATGTTTGGCAGCTGAAACTAACTCACATGTTGAAATTGAATGCCCAAATTTTCTGCTGTCATCCCCAGTTTATATCCCCAATATTTCTGCTGTTATCCCCTGTTTTATCCACTTAACTCCCCATTTCTGCTGCTATCCCCAGTTTCTTCCTTGTAAATCACCAAATCTTGGCCAAGTTTGTCTCAGTTTTTGGCCAGGGGAAGGAAACCCACGACGGCACAACGGTGGCCAGGACATGCTGATCCAAAAGTTCCTGGCGGGCATTGCCAACATGGCAGCCTTCAGTCGTGAGGCTCCGGATCCGCAACAGAAAATGCTGAGACGATCAGCAGCAACAAAGATGGTGAAACACTTGGATAACATTACCAAAACACATGGAATATTATGTATATATATACATATATTATGTATATATATATATTATACGTATATATATATATATTATAGAGAGATCTCTACATACATACATATATATATAGTCTATGTACATTCAGAACTTACATTACAAGAATAAGCAAATACCAGCCAGAATCATGGTGATATATTTGGTGAATCTTACAGACTGGGGTTGACACGAGCAAAAGAACATGCCATGACTCAGAGATGAGCAAAAACGCTCTTGGTGGTCCCTCGCTGGGGCTCTTAACATCCCTTTAATCCTGGGACAGGTATGGCTCCAGCGTTTTTTGTTCCCCAAAATTGCATGCTTCAGTATCTTTAGATATCGATTTCGATATCCTTACTGGTGCTAAACATAGGGAATGGATGGTTTGCTGGGGGTTGCTGGGACTACTAATAGTTATTGTGGGATCATTCCCTCATTCCCTAATAGTCATTATTGATTACTAATAGTTATTGTGGATTACTATCTAAAGTTTAAAGATACTAAACATGGAATCTCATTCCCCAAACGATACTAATAGAACCAATAGGCCCAATAGCCATTATTACTAAGCACCAATATTACCCTCTGGTAATGACTAACATAGCTATGGAAAATCACCATAGAAATAGTGGATTTTCCCATGAAAAATGGTGATTTTCCATAGTTTTTTGTATGTTTACCAGAGGTTATATCCCATTAAATCCCATTAAATCCCATTAAACCACCATTTTCCTATGGTTTTCCTATGGTTTTCCTATGATAATCCTATTATTAACCACCATTTTTGGGCCGGCTGCCAGGTGGGCATCCCCACGGAGGCGGGTCTGCCGCACGCCTTCGGCAACGCCTTCCGCAACGTGGCGGCGCTGGTGGCGGACATCGACTTCACCTTCAAGGAGGCCGGCGGCCGGCGGGAACGTGGGGCCTGGGTGGGTTTATGGTGATTTAATGGTTTAACACTGGGTTAACAATGGTGAATAATGGGATGATATGAGATTTACTTGGTGGCGAACTACCCACTTAGTAACTATAGGTTATAACCCTGGTTGGTGGATGAAGCCTACTTATCCCACTGAAATCACCAGGGATATAACCTACTTAGGATTCGTGGGATGAGTCACCAAGTAGCCAAACTTGATTAGTTGTTGGATGGGAGTTAAAGTATTATGTCACAGCTATAGGTAGGGACTTTGTTTGGTTTAGGGATATAAACTGGTTGGTGGTTTGGAACATGAATTTTATTTTCCCATCATATTGGGAATGTCATCATCCCAACTGACTCTCACTCCATCATTTTTCAGAGGGGTTGGTTTCAACCACCAACCAGATATTATTGATCATGATTCACCATTGTTACCCTCTGGTAAACTAATATAACTATGGAAAATCACCATTAGTATAGTGGATTTTCAGAGGGGTAGGTCAACCACCAACCAGATGATCATCCCATTATTAACCACTATTAACCCACTATTAACCACTATTAACCACTATTTAACCACTATTAAGCCACTATTTAACCACTATTAACCACTATTAAGCCACTATTTAACCACTATTAACCACTATTAAGCCACTATTTAACCACTATTAACCACTATTAAGCCACTATTTAACCACTATTAACCACTATTAAGCCACTATTTAACCACTATTAAGCACTATTAAGCCACTATTTAACCACTATTAACCCACTATTAACCACTATTAACCCACTATTAACCACTATTAACCCACTATTAACCACTATGAACCCACTATTAACCACTATTAACCCACTATTAACCACTATTAACCTACTATTAACCACTATTAACCCACTATTAACCACTATTAACCCACTATTAAGCCACTATTAACCCACTATTAACCACTATTAAGCCACTATTTAACCACTATTAACCCACTATTGAGCCACTATTAACCCACTATTTAACCACTATTAAGCATTATTAAGCCACTATTTAACCACTATTAAGCCACTATTAAGCCACTATTAACCCACTATTTAACCACTATTAAGCATTATTAAGCCACTATTTAACCACTATTAAGCCACTATTAAGCCACTATTAACCCACTATTTAACCACTATTAAGCATTATTAAGCCACTATTTAACCACTATTAAGCCACTATTAAGCCACTATTAACCCACTATTTAACCACTATTTAGCCACTATTAAGCCACTATTAACCCACTATTTAACCACTATTAAGCATTATTAAGCCACTATTTAACCACTATTAAGCCACTATTAAGCCACTATTAATCCACTATTTAACCACTATTAAGCATTATTAAGCCACTATTTAACCACTATTAAGCCACTATTAAGCCACTATTAACCCACTATTTAACCAATATTAAGCCACTATTAAGCCACTATTAACCCACTATTTAACCACTATTAAGCATTATTAAGCCACTATTTAACCACTATTAAGCCACTATTAAGCCACTATTAACCCACTATTTAACCCACTATTTAACTACTATTAAGCCACTATTAAGCCACTATTAAGCCACTATTAAGCCACTATTAAGCCACTATTAACCCACTATTTAACCACTATTAAGCATTATTAAGCCACTATTTAACCACTATTAAGCCACTATTAAGCCACTATTAACCCACTATTGAGCCACTATTAAGCCACTATTAACCCACTATTTAACCACTATTAAGCATTATTAAGCCACTATTTAACCACTATTAAGCCACTATTAAGCCACTATTAACCCACTATTTAACCACTATTAACCATTATTAAGCCACTATTAACCCATTATTAAGCCACTATTAACCCACTATTAAGCCACTATTAAGCCACTATTAACCCACTATTTAACCACTATTAAGCATTATTAAGCCACTATTAACCCACTATTAAGCCACTATTAAGCATTATTAAGCCACTATTAACCCACTATTAAGCCACTATTAAGCCACTATTAACCCACTATTTAACCACTATTAAGCATTATTAAGCCACTATTTAACCCACTATTAAGCCACTATTAACCCACTATTTAACCACTATTAAGCCACTATTAAGCCACTATTAACCCACTATTTAAGCCACTATTAAGCATTATTAAGCCACTATTAAGCCACTATTAACCCACTATTTAACCACTATTAAGCATTATTAAGCCACTATTAACCCATTATTAAGCCACTATTAACCCACTATTAAGCCACTATTAAGCCACTATTAACCCACTATTTAACCACTATTAAGCCACTATTAAGCCACTATTAACCCACTATTAAGCCACTATTAAGCATTATTAAGCCACTATTAACCCACTATTAAGCCACTATTAAGCCACTATTAAGCCACTATTAACCCACTATTTAACCACTATTAAGCATTATTAAGCCACTATTTAACCCACTATTTAACCACTATTAAGCCACTATTAACCCACTATTTAACCACTATTAAGCATTATTAAGCCACTATTTAACCCACTATTTAACCACTATTAAGCCACTATTAAGCCACTATTAACCCACTATTTAACCACTATTAAGCATTATTAAGCCACTATTTAACCCACTATTTAACCACTATTAAGCCACTATTAAGCCACTATTAACCAACTTAACCACTATTAGCCACTATTAAGCCACTATTAACCCACTATTTAACCACTATTAAGCATTATTAAGCCACTATTTAACCCACTATTTAACCACTATTAAGCCCTATTAAGCCACTATTAACCCACTATTTAACCACTATTAACCATTAATTAAGCAACTATTTAACCACTATTAAAACCACAACTATTAAGCCACTATTTTAAGCCACTATTAATTTATTAAGCCACTAAGCCACTATTTAACCCCAGTATTTAACCACTATTAAGCCACTATTAAGCCACTATTTAACCCACTATTTAACCACTATTAAGCATTATTAAGCCACTATTTAACCACTATTAAGCCACTATTAAGCCACTATTAACCCACTATTTAACCACTATTTAGCCACTATTAAGCCACTATTAACCCACTATTTAACCACTATTAAGCATTATTAAGCCACTATTTAACCACTATTAAGCCACTATTAAGCCACTATTAATCCACTATTTAACCACTATTAAGCATTATTAAGCCACTATTTAACCACTATTAAGCCACTATTAAGCCACTATTAACCCACTATTTAACCAATATTAAGCCACTATTAAGCCACTATTAACCCACTATTTAACCACTATTAAGCATTATTAAGCCACTATTTAACCACTATTAAGCCACTATTAAGCCACTATTAACCCACTATTTAACCACTATTAAGCATTATTAAGCCACTATTTAACCCACTATTTAGCCACTATTAAGCCACTATTAACCCACTATTTAACCACTATTAATTGATAGGAACCTGTAATGCTTAACTTTGGTTTTAGGGCCGGGTACCCCCGGAGGCACTTTTGGTGGGGACAGAGGTGGTGCTAGGGCTGGTGTCCAGCAAGTAACCCAAAAATAAGTTGATTTTTCGTCTTGAAGGAAGTGGTGTTAACCCCGGTGCTCTAACGGGTGTCTCGTTTTTCTTGGAAGTCGAAGAAGTGAAGTTAAGGTCCATGCCGAGCATTGGATTCAATTTTTGTGGTTGAGGAAGCGGTGCCGAAGTTGCTCTTCCAAAAGTTTTTTTTTTAAAGGTGAAACGCTCACTGTTTATGTGTGGGCACGTTTCCTGCAGCTCTTTCGCGGCTGGATTGGCCTCTGTTTCCCAATTTGTAGGACCCCGTTTGCTGAAAGATACCCCAAGTTTGGTCTATAGACGGTCTTGTCGTTCCACACTTCGGTTTGCTCGCGTCGGAAGCGCGTCGGAAGCGTGTCGGAAGCGTGTCGGAAGCGCGTCGAAACCGCGTCGAAACCGCGTCGGAACCGCGTCGGAATTAACCGAGTCGGAACCGCGAGTCGGAACCGCGTCGGGAAGATGTTGGCCCCAGAATGGGCCTCCATGTATGCTTAGCCTGTGTTATGTCGGCATTTGGTGGTGCTCGGGGGCGAACGGGGAGCCTGATGGAATGCCCGATTCGTTTTCTTCGCCCGCCCAAACATCTGCAGTTACTAATGGGGCGACTTTGCTGCGGTCATTACTTGCCCCGCGTCCTGTTTGACACCGCCCCATGCACAAGTAGTGTATAGGTTTACTAAGCATTATAGAGGCCCCTTCTGGGGCCAACACGTTCCCGACGCGGTTCCGACTCAGTTCCGACTCGGTTCCGACTCGGTTCCGACGCGGTTCCGACTCGGTTCCGACTCGGTTCCGACTCGGTTCCGACTCGGTTCCGACTCGGCTCCGACTCGGTTCCGACTCGGTTCCGACTCGGTTCCGACGCGGTTCCGACGCGGTTCCCACGCGGTTCCGACGCAGTTCCGACTCGGTTCCGACTCGGTTCCGACTCGGTTCCGACGCAGTTCCGACGCGGTTCCGACGCGTTTCCGACTCGGTTCCGACTCGGTCCCGACTCGGTCCCGACTCGGTTCCGACTCGGTTCCGACGCGGTTCCGACGCGGTTCCGTCGGAGCCGCCTCGGAGCCGCGTCGGAACCTATATTGTAACCAGATGGGAAAGTGCAATGGGACCGCGTGAATCTGAATGGTGATTTTCGCATGGAAATGCGATCTTTGGACAAATGAAAACGTGTTTGCTTTGACAACACAATAAAATTATGGCCATATTTCATTACTATTTGCATCAGAATCAACACCCAGGAAATCAATTGGCGTCAGAGAGGAACAAATGCTTTTCTGGATATGTTGGGTCTCGGGACCATTAGTATTAAAATGTTTGCGACGGGGATGATGTTCGGTTTTATTTCAATTTTCAATGGAATTTGAACTTGGATCGTCCAGACTACGCACCACCAGTTGCACCACTACATAGGCCCCCCCCCTGCCCAGCAAACAGGGGGTAAGTTAAGCATAATAGGGGCTTAGCAAACTATTAAGCATTATTAAGCCACTATTTAACCCACTATTTAACCACTATTAAGCCACTATTAACCCACTATTAAGCCACTATTAACCCACTATTTAACCACTATTAACCCACTATTTAAGCCACTATTAACCCACTATTTAACCACTATTAAGCATTATTAAGCCACTATTTAACCCACTATTTAACCACTATTAAGCCACTATTAAGCCACTATTAACCCACTATTTAACCACTATTAAGCATTATTAAGCCACTATTTAACCCACTATTTAAGCTATTAAGCCACTATTAAGCCACTATTTAACCCACTATTTAACACTATTAAGCATTATTAAGCCACTATTTAACCCACTATTTAACCACTATTAAGCCACTATTAAGCCACTATTAACCCACTATTTAACCACTATTAAGCATTATTAAGCCACTATTTAACCCACTATTTAACCACTATTACGCCACTTAACCCACTATTTAACCACTATTAAGCATTATTAGCCACTATTTAAACCCACTATTTACCACTATTAGCCACTATTAAGCCACTATTAACCCCTATTTAACCACTATAAGCATTATAAGCCACTATTTAACCCACTACCACTATTAAGACCAACTATTAGCCACTATTACCCCACTATATTAAGCCACTATTAAGCCACTATTAACCCCTCTTTAACCCCTATTTACCACTAGTAGCCACTATTAACCCACTATTAAACACTATTAAGCATTATTAGCCTATTAACCCACTATTTAACCACATTGAGCATTATTAGTCACTATTTTACCCACTATTTAACCACTACTATTAGCCACTATTAAGCCCTATTAACCCCTATTTAACCACTATTAACATTATTAGCCCCTATTTAACCCACTATTTAAACTTAACCACCTATTAAGCCCTATTAAGCCACTATTTAAACCCACTATTTTAACACCACTATTAAAGCATTATTATAAGCCACATTTTACCCATATTTAACCACTATTCACTTATTAAGCCACTATTTAACCCACTATTTAAACAACTATTAAGCATTATTAAGCCACTCTTTTAACCCACTATTTAACCACTATTAAGCCACTATTAACCCTATTAACCCACTATTAACCACTATTAAGCATTACTTAAGCCACTATTTACCCCGATTTACCACTATTAAGCCACTCTTAACCCACTATTTAACCACTATTAAGCATAAGCCACTATTTAAGCCACTATTTAACCACTATAAGCTCACTATTAACCCACTATTTTACTATTTAAGCACTATAAGCCACTATTAACCCACTATTTAACCACTATTAGCATTATTAAGCCACTATTTAACCCACTATTTAACCACTATTAAGCCACTATTAAGCCACTATTAACCCACTATTTAACCACTATTAAGCATTATTAAGCCACTATTTAACCCACTATTTAACCACTATTAAGCCACTATTAACCCACTATTAACCCACTATTTAACCACTATTAAGCATTATTAAGCCACTATTTAAGCCACTATTTAACCACTATTAAGCATTATTAAGTCACTATTTAACCCACTATTTAACCACTATTAAGCCACTATTAAGCCACTATTAACCCACTATTTAACCACTATTAAGCATTATTAAGCCACTATTTAACCCACTATTTAACCACTATTAAGCCACTATTAACCCACTATTTAACCACTATTAAGCATTATTAAGCCACTATTTAACCCACTATTTAGCCACTATTAAGCCACTATTAAGCCACTAATATGTTTGGTAAAGTTCTCCCCCAAATTTTGTCACCTGCCGACCTGCGGCTGAGGTGGAGGACGTGAAGAAGTTCCTGGAGGATCCGGACGCCTATGCCGCGGCCAACCCCGTGGCAGCTGCCCCTGCCGCGAGTGGTGGAGGTGAAGCCAAGAAGGAGGAGAAGAAGGCCAGAAATCCAGAAAAATGCTGGATTTATATGGATTTATTGGCAATTCACAAGCAAAACACCAATGTGATTTCATGGGATAATCATGGGGATGTAATGAAATGTAAGGGTACAGTTCTGGGTGTGCTGTTTTGTGGCAGTTTTTGTGCTTTAAATTGGATGGTTCCGTTGTTTCGGCTGTGCCATTTGCAGATAGAGAGATCTTCAAAGAAAGTGGGCAACCTTTCAGCCACTATGTCTATATATATATATATACATACCTACATTGCATTACATTACATTACATTACATATCCCCAGTGTATCCCATAAATTGATGATAAATCCTTCCATTTGTACCAGGCCGTGGTGGAAGAGGAAGAGGAGGAGGACATGGAGTTCGATCTCTTCGGCTGAGCCAGGTGCACTTAGCCGACATGCTAATTTCATAGGAATAAACCCATGGGACGTGTCTTTTTTTATTGCAATGGCTTTGTGCATTTGGATGTTCAAAATGACCACTAAACAGACTAAACATATTAGTATTCCCTCGGATGTCCTGCTGTCCTGGAGTCTTTTGCAGATTGAAAGAGTGGTGAGCTCAGATGAAACAAGACATATCATGACATATCCGTATCCATGGCGACCAAGGAGCACCCGAAATCATGGCTAAATGATACTTGAGGTTGGAATAACCATTTATTTGTTGGCCTGTCGAATCTCATTAGGGTTTTAGATTGGATTCATCCGGGTACATGCCATGCCCAAAACTTGATTCACAGATGTAGTGACGTGTATCAGCTTTTTACACAGCAGTCTATGTTTAGAATACCCGTTGGTAGCTCCCAGCTGAGATCTAGGAGCTCCAGCCCCTGGGGTGCATGGCTATTTTTTTTTAGCCTTAGTAAAAATGACGATAGGTCCCTTGATTTTATCTGCAGACATGCTAGATTTTATCTCGATCATAAGTGTGAGATGAATTCTAAGAGGCTGGACCCCCCTAGGTCCCCTCAAGGGTACTCGCTTCCAAGGAGGACCCATGGGGGGGGTCCAGCCCCTTGGATTTTATCTCACTCCAATTTCAGGTCAGGCACCTTGATTTTATCTTTGGAAGGTTGGGCTGATTGAATTTTATTTTCATCCTACTTGAGATTTGGTACCTATCTTATATTTTCATCCTCTGCAAAACAGGCATCAACCAAAGGTGCACATTTTTTTTCTTGGGAAACGTGTGGCATGTTTATCAGCTTTCGCGCCACGGAAACCCTGTCAATATTATCTCTTTTGAACGTCATTTTTTGTTGAACTTTCACATCAAGGACAAATATTGAAATTGATCTCAAAAAGCACGCAACCAAATCCTGGATACCAGCATCTCACCCTGTCCATCTTCAGTTCCAGCAAATAAAACCTGTGTGCCCAACCTTGAGATATCAACCTCTCTGCAAAATTGGCGTGAAAAAACTTGCACTAAGTTTATTTACTTGGGACAGTTCTGAAATGTTTACCTTTATCATATTTGTTAAAAGTAAATCCAGAACAAAGTCTCCTGCACATCAAGGACGCACTGAAATTGATTCCAAAAAAGGCTACCAAATCCTGGAAACCAACACCTCGCCTTGTCCAATCTTTGCTCTTGAAACTTGGAGGGGAAGCCTGAAAATAACATCTGTACCCGCTAACCTTGATAGATGAATCTCTCTAAGAAAACTGGCGTTAAAGGTGCGCAGAAATTGTGTTCTTGGGAAGATAGTTATGACATGTTTATCAACTTTATCTCCGTTGAAAACCTTTCAAAGTGGCCAGCTTATCTGAGGCATGCAGAAAAAATCGATGGCTAAAATCCAGGAGGTCCATGGTTTCATAAGATTCACAGATAAAACATGTATGTCCTAAATATTCACAACATGCCCAAAAAAATTTGAGGGGCCTGACCTTTGATCATTTTTGAACGTCCAAAATGCTCCAAAGTATTGGTTCCCTTGTCCAAGTTGAGTGTTAGCAAAAATGTTTGGTTTACGAATGCTAGACTTGGGCCCCTAGATTTTATCCATTCAGAAATGCTCAAAAGGGGTATGGGGGGGTCAGGCCCCTCTGGAAAACAGCCACTGGGGTCTACTATTTCAGGGGGTGGACCCCCCCTAGGAGCAACCAAGGGGTTTGTTTAGACACTGTAGCCAAATTCGAGATCTCTTTGCACCACATGTTGTGGTTTGATGGAACATGTGTGTCAGCACGGCTTTCTCTATGAGCAATGTCCTCTCACTAGCTGCAACCTGTCAGGCCAGAGGCAAGCAGATGAAGCGCAGCGAACGCGACGTGGTGGAGCAAAACAATTTTCTGCAGAGCATGGTGGAAGTTGCCCATTTGTTTGCAGAGTATCATAGAACATGATATCTGTGATGGCTTAGATTAGTCAATTATCTTAAGTGATAAATCCATATAAACCCTTTATAATGTCTGTATTTAGATATTTTAATATGTATGCGATTTTTTAGTCAAGACGATGATGGACCAGTTCTTTGTGGGTTTAATATGTGCAGAGCTATAATTGCAATACCATCCATAGGTGGAATGAAAGCAGTGCTTCAACCAAGCAATACAGCCGTCACGAGACTAGCAATGGGGACATGGATAGTCTACAGATGTCCGCAGCCTCAATCGCCATGCTTGTATATGATCCTTGGTGGAACGGGGAAGCATCATGCAAAGGTCTAACATCAGGTTTGAGGAGTTAATTACTCGTATTTATTCTTTGGTAATCAAGCATGGCAAGCTAGAAAAATCCACTCTAAAATGGTGGTTTGATGGGAAAATCATATAAATGGTGAAATTTCCAGCAAACCATGTTTAATGGAGGCTACTATATAGTACGCATGAAATGCATAGTTTTGGTTTGAGAATTTCACAGAAATGGCCCTTGGCGCACGCAGGGATTGGAGCTTCTGCAACATCGGGGTGCTGCAACTGGCCATGTTGAGGCGACCTGAAAAAAAAGGATCAACGGGGCGACCTGCACCTTGAATTTCCCCATATATTTCCCATCTTCCATTATGTTCCAATATGTTCCCTAATTTCCCATATCAACCTACAGAAATTGTGAGGATTGGTGAAGTACTTTCCCATATTTCTCTGATATTTTCCCATAGCTCTCCTATATTCTCCTTGATTTTCCCATATTTCTCCCATATTTCGCCATTGGAAATCACCACCTTCCATGCATCTGCAGGCCCAGCTGCCTCGTAGCGCAGCCCTGTGGCTGGTGGAGCACCTGAGCAACGTAGCAGCCTCAGTGTTGGCGTTTTCTGATGGAGGTGATATAATGGGATATAAAACTATAAATCTGGGTAAATTATAACGACCTCACTGCGACCTCACTGGAATCATGGTTAGTAAGGGAAATCATCCCCAAATGGCCTTAATTCAGGTTAGTGAAATATTATAATTTACCCAGATAAATGGGGCTTTGAATGGGCAATATCAATCGACAATATCATGGGCTTTTAATATGTTTTAAATGTTTTAATGAGATACTCGTAGTTGATAGTGGTTCGTATTGGGTTACGCATGGGTTAATGATGCTTAAATGGGATATTCAATGTGGTACCTGGTAATCAAACGTGGCAAGCTGGACTTTCCCCATGCTGAATGCATGTTTTTCAATGGAAAAATAGTTGATTACTAACCCTGTATAGTTGATTACTAACCATTTATGATGGTATGATCCTCCATAAAATGATGCATTAAAAGGGTTAGTAACCATTTTGATGAATACTGATGATTTCCTCCACTATAAAGGGTTAGTAATCATACTTGGAGGATCATCCCACGGATCAAATGTGGAGGACATCATCATGAAATTCATGGCTGATGAGTTTTTTTTTTTTAATGGCGATAGTTTCACCAACCATCATGAGATTCAATGAACATATAGCTTATAAATTCATAAATGCGATTTCAATAGTTTTCAATGCGAAAATCGTGGTTCCTATGGGTTAATGCTTTATGGTCTTTATATGTCTTTATATAATTATATATGATTATATATATATATATATTATAATATATATTATACTATATATATATACATATGTGTGGTACCCTTTGGTAATTAAACATGGCAAACCGGAAGTTTTCGCCGAACAATTTTCGGATGGTTCTTTCGCTGAAAATCAACTATAAATGGAAGGATCATGGAAGATTTTCGAGCTAGCCACGTGTGATTTATGCTGTAAAAAAAACAACAACATATATCAAAATATGGGCTGCGTCAATGTTCTCATGAAAGGGGATGCTCATCCCACCAAGATGGATAAATACCACATGATGTTAATCATTGATGTTTTTTTTTTTATCCAGGATTAATCACCATGAATCCAGGGTTGACACTGGATGTTGTATCACGATGTATACATAATATATATTGGATATCATATGATGTATATATATATATATATGTATATACTGCATATATAATGATGAGTGGATATCACTGATTCCCGAATGCGTAGCAAGGGTTCCCGTTTCACTCTGGGGGTCTGGGGGTTGAGGGTGTGTTCGCTCGACGTTGCGTTCGCGAGTGCAACCGTCCGCAACCGTTCGCAACCGTTCGCAACCGTTCGCAACCGTTCGCAACCGTTCGCAACCGTTCGCAACCGTCCGCGCGAGGACCGTATGGCCGTGCCTATGGGAAGTTCTGCAGAGGTGGTAATTTTTGGAGGTTTCAGACGTGTCGTTGCTTCGTTTCGCGTGGCAGGCGTGGCACTTCGTGACATTCAGACGTGTTCCGGAACGTGTCGAAAGTCGTTTTGCGTGGCAGGCGCAATACTTTTGCGACGTTTTCAGAAGATGTGTTGCAGTTTTCGTGGCAGGCGCAGCACTTTGGACGTGTCCATCGTCATTTTTCGTGGCAGGCGCAGCACTTTAGACGTGTCATGTTGCGTGTTTTTTGTAAATCGCATTGGCAGGGCTGCGTCAAGTGGCGACAAGGTGCAAATTCCGTGGCAGGCGTGGCATTTTCTGACATGTGCTGAAAATTGACGGAAGCCTCGCACGAAACATCGATTTTGAGGTTACAAATTTTCACGTTCTAAGGAAAACTCGTAGGAAAACGTCGATTTTGAAGCTACAAAGTGTGAAAATTGGAGGAAGTCTCGCACGAAATGCTCGTTTTGGTGCTCCCACGTGTCTCGTCTCGAGTCTCTGGTTTCCCTGTGGCCTCGCCGTGTCTATGGGGGAAGCTGGAAAACATGTTCTTGCGGCATGTTTCAAACTATGAAAATTGGAGGAAGTCTCGTACGAAATGCTGATTTTTCTGCATCCACGTGTCTTGTCTCGAGTCTCTGGTTTTCCTGTGGCTTCGCCGTGTCTATGGGGGAAGCCGCAAACCCTCTCCTTTTCGAAGGTTTCCAAGCAGCTTGTCATGTCGTTTTGCGTGGCAGGCGTGGCACTTTGTGACATTCCAACGTGTTTGATAACGTGTCGAAAATGTCAAAATTGGAGGAAGTCTCGTACGAAATGCTCGTTTTTCTGCATCCACGTGTCTTGTCTCGAGTCTCTGTTTTCCTGTGGCTTCGCCGTGTCTATGGGGGAAGCCGCAAAACCTCTCCTTTTCGAAGGTTTCCAAGCAGCTTGTCATGTCGTTTTGCGTGGCAGGCGTGGCACTTTGCGACATTCCAACGTGTTTGATAACGTGTCGAAAATGTCAAAATTGGAGGAAGTCTCGTACGAAATGCTCGTTTTTCTGCATCCACGTGTCTCGTCTCGAGTCGTTGGATTTCCTGTGGCGTCGCCGTGTCTATGGGGAAAGCTCCGCACTCCTCACTCCACACTTTACACTCCACACTCCTCCCTTTACACTCCACACTCCACACTCTACACTCCACACTCCACACTCTACACTTTACACCCCACACTCCACACTTTTTACATTTTACACTCCACACTCTACACTCCACAAACTAGACTTTCCACTCCACACTCCACACTCTACACTTTACCCTCCACACTCCACACTCCACACTTTACACTTTGCACTCCGCACTCCACACTTTACACTCCACACTCCTCACTTTACACTCCACATTCCACACTCCACACTCCGCACTCTACACTTTACACTTTATTAAACTCCTCACTCCTCCCTCCACACTCTACACTCCACATCCCCCACTCACACTCCACACTCTACACTTTCCACTCCCCACTCCACACTCCACACTCTACACGTTGCACTCCACACTCCACACTTTACACTCCACACTCCACACTCCACACTTTACACTCCACACTCCACACTCCACACTTTACACTCCACACTCAGCGCTCTACACTTTACACTGTAAACTCCTCACTCCTCACTCCTCACTCTACACTCTACACTCTACACTCCACACTCCTCACTTTACACTCCGCACTCCACACTCCACACGCCACACTCCACACTCTACACTTTACACTCCACACTCCACAGTTTGCACCCCACACTCCACACTCTACACTCCACACTCCTCACTTTACACTCCACACTCTACACTTTACCCTCCACACTCCGCACTCCACACTCCACACTTTGGACTCCAGACTCTACACTTTACACTCCTCACTTTACACTCCACACTCCACACTTTACACTCCACACTCCTCACTTTACACTCCACACTCCTCACTTTACACTCCACACTCCTCACTTTACACTCCACACTTCCCACTCCACACTCCACACTCCACACTCCACACCCCTCACTCCACACTCTACACTTTCCACTCCACACTCCACACTCCACACTCTACACTTTACACTCCACACTCCGCACTTTACACGTTACACTCCTCACTCCACACTCGACACTCTACACTTTACACTCCACACTCTACACTTTAAACTCTACACTTCACACTTTACATTTTACATTCTACATTCTACACTCCACACTCTACACTTTCCACTCCACACTCCACACTCCGCACTCCGCACTCCACACTCCACACTTTACACTCCACACTCTACACTTTACACTTTACACTCCTCACTCCACACTTTACACTCCACACTCCTCACTTTACACTCCACACTCCACACTTTGCACTTTACACTCCTCACTCCTCACTCCACACTCTACACGCTACACTCCACACTCCACACTCTACACTTTACACTCCACACTCTACACTTTACACTTCGCATTCTACACTTTACACTCTACAGTCCCCACTCCACGCTTTACACTCCACACTCCACACTTTACACTCCACACTCCACACTTTACACTCCACACTTTACACTCCACACTGCAGACTGGTAACAGGGGAAATATGTACAAGACAGTTCAAATAAACTATTGCAGAAAAGTGTTGTGCGTGACTGCATATCCATGTGTTTTGACATCTGTACCATTAACATACGTGTGAGCATTCGGGTTCGTGGGCTTCATCTTGTTTTTTGGTGGATATCATGAAAAAATGATATTATGGTTTATATTCTATATTATTCAATGATAATTATAATATTAGTGGATCATCAGTGAATAGTTGACATAAATGGACAAAATTGCCTACGCTTCGAAGAATGGCGACGGAATCCTGTCCCGGAACTCGGTTCGCAGCCAACCACTGGCGAGCCTTGGGTGTGCTCGTGATGAATTTTACACGCGAAATCCTTCCTCTGTTCTTACTTTGAAATGGAATTATAGTTCCTTTTCTCTCTTAGTTGACACGTGTTGAAGCTAAATAGAAGTGCTAGTTGGCGAATGAATTGTTGTAAATTAAGATAATGATGCATGATTCAATGACGGAGCAAAAACAAAGGTGATCCTTGGTCATTATATGATAAAAGACCTACTGTAGTGACCAAGTGATCCATTTTACACTTATGGATGTTCTCGATAAAAGAACGATTGGATATGTGGACCATTTGTATCAGTTTGATTGTTGATCATCAAAATGTGTGTCGATTTAGTACGCATTGTGATGTATTATCCACGATTCTGCACAAGCGCGTGACAGTTTTTTTAGACATGTAGTACCCTCCATCCAACTCACATGGACTCTGCCAAAGAACGGGCTGTAAGACTAGATTACGTTTCTCTTGAAGTCTTGTGATGAACGGTTTTCAGGGTCTATGCTAGTTTGGGGGATAATGTTTTTTTGGGTATGTAAAAACTGATCCTGAAACATACAAACAATTATATATATACATAATATTATGTGTTTCTTATTGTTTCCATTTGTTTCTTGCCATGTGGTTTGAACGATGCTGGTTCAACCTTCATCATGACCCCATCCCCCTGATAGACACCACCAGAAACCATGGTGGATGGCGGGGATTTACACATCAACTGGGGACCAGTTTGAATGGGGGTGCTTAATGCTGTTGAATGTGAGATGTGTGGTGAGTTACCTTCCCCTCAACCTGGTGTGATGTGCATCATGCAACTCGACTAGTCACGTCACCGACCTTGTCGAGTCGGCCTACGTTACCGTTGATCTTCGGCATCTACGACAGTGCCGCACTGATTCGGCGTCTTTGGCACTTTGAAGCCGCCAGGAAGAACCTTCCAGCGCTGGAATGCATGGTGACGCCTGGTAGAAACATCTTTTACCAATTGCCTGGGTTCCGAAAATCTCGGACTCTCAGCCCGGCGTGGCTTTCGCGGCGCCCAACACATGGTCCCAAAAGACATCTCCGGTTCCTGGTGCGGCAAACGCCATGCTGCACACCAGCTGCAGTCCAACATGTTATTTTCATAGACAGTCTTGGAGAATGGACGGTCTTGAATTTTGGACATCTTGAAGGATGATGAAGGGAAAATCTGCAGGAACTCCCTACGATTATATATTTCATAGATATACAAATACTACTATAACATATTATATATATATATATATTATAATAATTACTATATATATATATATGTACATTATATGATGTATATTATATGATGTATTTATTTATTTATTTATTATGGTAAAACTCATTGTTTCGTACAACTAGACGTTTCCTTAAACATACTTGAACCAATCCATTGATTGTTGGTCATGCTCCCGCATTGAATGGGAGCTTCAGGACCTCAAAATGAAGGTACCATACCAAACAAGGCGATATTTTGTGGGGAAGTTCCTTTACGTAGAATATGCATAGATCAGTAGCTCTGATTCTGGTACGTGACATATTCCCTGAAATTGTACATATTCCTGCATTGTTGGGTTTACTTCCATGATATCCAATCATATTATTCTTATCATATCTCCATGATATGTAATCATAATTCATTAATACATGATAGTCCCACTAGTGAACATGATAATTTCAATCTTCACCATCGGTTAGACGGTAGTTCCACTATCACCGTGACTCAGGTGCCCAGCATGGTCGCGCAGCACAAGCTGCAGCTTGTGACTTGGCAAGTTGTCGCAGGAATCTTTGGAGCTTCGGAGACAGCACGGTTTTTATGGGGAAAGCAGTTTTCAACACAGCGAAATTACTTGAGGATTGTAGATGATACATCATTCACACTCAAGATACTATTCATAGTTCACTATATATATGTATATATATATAATAATTACATCATGATTAATTATGTTTGTTCGATACCCCTGTTGATTATAAGCCCAATATATTGATGATGATCGACATCCACAAAAAAAAGTGGGAACCTGGATGGATTTTACCAGCTTGCTACTACGGGAAGGGCTACGCTAACAATAACAGATACATATATATATAACCTAAAAGAATGGATACTCCAAAAGGTTAATCATGGAAATATATGTGGGTAGATATTCAAAAATACGATATTGGTGCGTGTGTGTATATAATGTATACAGTATATATATATATTCTGGGAAACCCTGGACGGGTAGTTTAATACGTTTATCGTTTGACACAACCGCAGACCGCAGCATATATAGTATATAATATATAATACAATTATATACATACGCTAGTCAGCTCTGCAACACCTTTTTTTTTCGCAGGGTGTCTAGAATCCAAGTTCGGCGTTGCTGGGTCTTATTATTGACCCTTAAGGAAGCTTAGTTGGTGGGGGCCCCTGGGAGCTGACACGAAAGACAAGCGAGAAGCAAAAGTGATGGTAACAAGCAGCAGTGTAAGGGTTGTAAAACCATATATATATACATACATATAATATATATAATTATATACATACATACATATAATATATATATATGGGGATCCAATGGGATAAAAAAGCCCTGGTTTTCTGGTTGGTAAAGCAATGGGGAGATGAAACATACCCGGACACCAAACCAACCATACCCAGCCAGATTTAGGATCTTTTCTATGATTTGGCTATGTCGAAAAATGGGGACGCTTTAAACACCCCGCATGTTATGGCGATCTTTGGCAGCTCAGCGAGCATAAACTTCCAATGGGTCACTCGCAGTCACTAGCAATGACACTTTACAATTACAATGCTAAAAGGTACTAAAAGGGGTTACCCCCCCAGTTATAAGTTGGTTTGCAAGCGATGATTAACTAGTTTTTGGAGTTTTAAACCAACTTAGCTAACGAACTCCTTGTAGGTGAAGTATGATTGAATTGGATTAGCAAGGTGGCGGGCTAGACAGCTACTGGAACCTGTATGTTTCAAGACTCAGAGAATGACCTTTGCAGTTTTGAAAGATAAATATTCCGATTTGACCAAGTCAGGACAGTTTCCACCCAACCCTGGTCAAAAACCTGGATAGAATTGCCCGAAGGGTCCCATCCCCATCCTCAGGATTCCACAAAAAGGATCCCCTGCTGATATGCCCAATTCTCGGAGAAACTGCGCATCTTTTCGCACGATAGGTACTGGAAAACCATCTGAAATATGCTGCTTGTGAAAACACCCAGCTTATCCCTGAATGATTGCTCTAGATTATTTCTCCAGTTTATGAAACATTACTGGTATCACTCATCGAAACATATCCAAAATCATCCAACAATGATCCAAAGACCATCCAAAATCATCCAGAAATTCTCCAAACATCGTCCAGAAATCATGCAAAATCATCCAAACATATCCAACATCAGTGACGTGTGTTTGACCGCCCCTTGAGTCGTGTTCCACGCATCTGTAGGTGTGGCTCTATAGCCTGTGGCCCTTGGTTGTAGCATTGGGGTTGCACGGCAGAAGGGTGAAGGCCGTGGGCTGCAAAGCAGCATCTGAAAGGTTGAGGTTCATTACCCTCTTGTAAACTAAAATAACTATGGAAAATCACCATGTTTCATGGGAAAATCCACTATAAATGGCCATTTTCAATAGCTATGTTTGTTTACCAGAGGGTATCTAATATTTATATAGATATTTAGCATGGTTATTTAGATGTATATATCGCCATTAAATTTAGATATTTACATATGATATCTACTGTAATATTTAATATGACTAGTTAAATCTATTTAACGGTTTGCTATACTATGGAAGCCATGTTCCATGATAGAGGATTTACCTAGACAAAATGATGGTTTCAATAGTTATGTTAAATGACCGGAGGGGAGGGCGTCTACTGTAATATTTGATGATGTGGTAAACCCAATAATAAACCTACCATTTCAGATGGCTTATCCATCCCATTTATGGTGATTTTGAGGATAGTTTACAATTGAGTTTACCACATGATGCTTCTTTAGATGTATAATCTATATTGGATATCCATTATACAATTGTATATATACATATTTATAGTATTAAGCAGTGGCTTGCCACACCCCGATTGGTTGAGGATTATTGGGGGATTATAAAGGGAGGACACTTTTTGGGTCTGCGCCTTAGCAACGGCACAATCGGTCTCGGTAGGTCAAGATGACTCACTACTCGTTGACCAATGATTTTGATGGTGGTCGATTTTGAAGGCAACAAGGTTTTTCGTTCCTGTCAAGGACAATCTTACTATATAATAATTAGATCGATTTAGATCGTCTTTGCGAAGCTTACACGCACAAAGACTGCTGGAAGAGACATCAGACGTGGTTTTTCTTACTACCTGACTCAGTCCCTGAAGTGCCTGAAAGTCTTGAGAAACATGTTTCAAGCCAGTTTAGACCTACATATTCATGGTGTTTGGAGAGTCTTGGAACCTTTTGTCAAGCCATTAATTCTATTTTAAAATCTTATGTTGTTTGTGTGTTTTTGGAATGATATTGATTTGAATGTTGTGTTTGCTCATTTTTAATGATGCAATTCCAACAAGAAACAACTTTGTTTGTTGCTCAGTATACTCTGATTGCTGAGCTATGCTGGGATGTGTTCTTTTTTGGTGGCATTAGGTTCTACCACATTCCCCACATTCGAAGATAAAACTCAAATTAGCTTTGTGCAAACATATCCCATATACCCTCTGGTTATGACTAACATAGCCATGGAAAATGATGGCCCTAATCGAAATAGATGGTTTACCTATTAATAGCATGGTGGATCTTTCCATGGCAAACTGTGAATGTCATAACCAGATGGTACCCCAAAATGACCTTTTTTCTTTGGGAAAATGATGATAAACCATCAGATTTGCATCAGATTTGCGGCGAGGTTACCAGCCCTACTGTCTCGCGGTGGATTGATCCAGGCTCTACGTCTACGTGGGATGCATGGCGCAGTGAAATGGCTTTTTGGTTTTAGTTATAACTGGTTTCTATGGGATGACATGCATTCTGTAAATGGGGTTCATGTATGTTAATGTGGCTAAAACACTGATAAAACATGAAAATTGGGATGACTGTTAGTACTTATAACTGGTATAACTCGGGCCATAACTGTGGTTTTTTGTATGGTAGATTTGCCACTTTGCCGAATGGTCCAATGATGTTTTTTTTGTTGCCCGTGTACATCCCCAGTGAATGGTAAACCTTGGTGAATGATAGGTGACGGGAATCGAATCGGGAATCTTTGAGTCAATGCCTCTGGCAATTCAACATATATTAATATATTAGTATATATATAATTATATATATATATATAATTTTGTCATTGACAATTGCCATTTATGGCTGATTTACCATCGAATCTACATTTATTGACGATTCCATTTCTGGTTCATTTAATGGTGATTGTCCTGGCATGATCCTGGCGGTCCTGGCACTCGTGCAGGTTCTGGCTTTCACGGCCTTCTGGGTGTTGCTTCGGCCCTGTGCCACCATGCTTCAGGCGACGCTGACGCCACCTGACTTTCCAATGTTTGATTGGGGATACCCATAGATAGCCATGGTGTTGTGGGGAAAATGGTGTTTTTTTTTATCCGGAATTGGGAAGTACATGGGAGTAGCCTATTTTCAGAGAAACCCATCTAGTAATCTACATTATAATCCTCATCGGATCCATGGTGCTGCTATATATGGTAACATGGATCCCATCAATATAACCCACATGTTAGCATATATACCAGCACCAGCCGGATCCGTCATGGGATCTGAAATTCAGATCTGTGTTACAGTGTTGCGAACTCAGTCCATCTCCGCTCTGATGTTGGATCCATCCCTTCCCCCCAAAAAGAATCTTCAACAGCCCCGATATAAACGAAAAACCATGGTGGATGTAGGGAATTTCCACATTCCATTGGGACCATAGAAATGGAGTGTTGAATATTAGGGTGATGGGATTTCCAAATGTCCAATGGTTCAGTCCCCAATTTTCAGGGCAAACTCGACTATCCCCAGTGACTGGTCAAGTACCCCCATGATTCGTTCCTTAAAAAAAACAATAAAGACCCACTGATGATGATCCCTATGTATTCAAACAAATATATCCTAATATATGGGTATGGATCAATACCTATAGATACCATTTTTAGTGGGATGAACATCCATAAATCCCAGCTATTTTGATGTGAACTACAGGGGTACAAGGTTTTGACACACTGCCATATGGCATCCCAATCATGCCAGCTTAGTTGTTTCATATCTTGTTGTCTCTCCTTTTCAACCGCAGGTACTCGGAAGCCAAATAGATCCAGTCCGACGACGTAGAAGGGGGAGTAGCAGTTGATGGGAGGAAGAGAAGACTAATGTGGTGAACCCAAAAAAGACTACCATTTCTATATGATTTATACCTGTTTACACGAAGCATGGTCATATTGGGGATGGTTTATGCTTGGGTTTACCGGTGAAAAAACATCTCCGCCGTTTTGACCATTGGTACGATGCAGCTAGCTCTCACCTAGCTTTTTCGTTCATGTGGAGAAGCTGGTTGGTGGTTTGGAACATGTTTTTTTTTTCCCATTTCATATATGGGATGTCATCCTTCCCATTGACGAACTCCATCATTTTTCAGAGGGGTAGGTTGCCCCCACCAACCAGCAAGGCTCATTTCCAGTTTTAAGGCTACACACTTGCGAAATGAGATGACCTGACTCGACAACCGCCCGGTCATTGTGTGTGTTGGATGGTGAAGTCATCCCATGTGTTGCCGCTCTTCTGTGTAGTTATTTTAAGTAGCCTGTAAAACTCAGTTTTTTGGGATTATCATTTCTGAAATATGAAAAATATGTCCCAGCATTTTTCCATATTTTTCCTAGCAGAAAGCCAGCTTTTTTCGCCACAAAAATCCCCAGGTTTTGGTTCCCCTATGACACCGAGGCCGAAGCCCAAGTGCTCCACAGCCTTTGGGCGACCAGCGGCTTCACGGCAGATGCCATGAGCCTCACCGTACCGGAGCTCAGCAAGCTCAGGAGGGGGTCTGGTGGTCTTCTTTTAATGAAGGGGACAGCATCCAGTGGTGGTTTACTCTTGGATTTAGGGCTTAATGATGCATCTGCATATGATTTGATTCATGTTGGGATGTTGGATAGTGGTTTCAAAGCGTGGTTTATGTGGGTTGATGATGAATCTTGGACTAATACTGGCTCAGTTATGATGAACATTGGATGTTGAATGGGATACCCTGCGGCAATCGTTGATTTTCTCAGCAAAAGACCTCCATGTTTATTAGATTTTCCAGCTTGCCATGTTTGATTCCCGCAGGCTATGTCTCGGGATTGTGTAATAACACGAATCATGATCATTGTTAATATATATATATAATTTATTCATCACATATGTTTGAAATTTGTCAATCACCCCCTGTGTTCTTTTTTGTAAAAAAGAAAGCAACTACCATGGTGAGATAACAATGACAATCGTAAGACCATGCTTGATATTGATGATAACGATAGTGTGCATCATCCATATGAGGGCTGTAAAGTTGTAAACATACCAAAAGCAATGAATGATCATGATGACAGTACTGATTCTGACAACAATATTCATGATGACAATACTGATTATCATGATATATTCCACATACACATGGATTATCATTCGCTTCCACCGCGTTTTTTGATTGCTGGCAGTGAAATAGCAGAATTTATTATTTTTCTATTCCGTCTATAATGTAAGAACTGTTTTTATTTTTATATACAGTAATTTTAGTATTTGGGGTAACCATTCACATTTGCTCCATTTGGTTGTCTTCGGGCACATGTGGAGGCTTCAGAACCTGACAACGGTCCATTGACGCCAAGTGTGCAGACTCCATATGTGATGTAACTGGAGTTAATCATAGGGAACCCAGTTTCTATCCCCAAAAATGCCTTCAATCATGAACACCCCAAAAACCATGGATTACTTTGGATTAGTCTCAATGGTTCATGTGTGTACACTCCCCAAAATATCAATTGGTGAAGATAAGGGGTTGTACTGCCCGGTTATACCAGGACTACTACGAAGCATTATGAACGAGCTAGTAAAAATGGGATTATATACCCATCAAAAGGGCATTGCTCATGTGAACCATGGTCAAAACATTGGCTACTTTATCATATGGGGAGGATGATCACCAATCCATACTTTTTGATATCCATAAAAATAGCATCACCAATTGGGATTCCCAGTATGGGATGGCTGACGATGACCATAACTACCATAACCCATATTTGATGTGTTCATCAAATGCAAAGATCAAGTTGGCTATATATCCCATTATATATATATATATCCATTAATATCCCAAAATATACCTTTTGATTATTTAACATAGCTATGGAAACGATGGGCCATAGAAAAAGATGATGATTTACCGAAATGATTTACCGAACTCAAAAATGGTGATTTTCTAGTTTGCTACGTTAAATTACCAGAGGGTATTCCATTAATATCCCATGATATTGCTATGATATTACGGGTTTTGATGGTTAACTATCCTATCCCATTAACATCCCATCTACATTCCTGACCATGTAGCTAATATCCAATAATATATTATCCACATATATGCCAAGACATCCGCGTCTTATCTCAGCTCACCTTCCAAGGCCCATTTCTATTGGTCTTGGGGGCTCTTTGAGCTGGTCGTACGACGGCGGCCATTGACTCAAAGGCGCAGTTGGTCGACCGGGTCGGGGTAGTTATGGCTGGGAGGGCGAACCCAGGCAACAAATCTGCAGCAAGCAAAACCAAGAAAGACATTTACCATCGGGTTATTTAACATAGCCATGGATAATCACCATTTTTCATAGGTAAACCATCTATTTCTATGGGCCATTTTGCATGGCTATGTTAAATAACCATGACATTTAAACATCAAAAGATCTTGGGAAATTGAGCAACAATGTGGAAATACACCAACAACACCAACCAAACATTGGATTTTTTCACAGGATTGAACTTGAATGAAACTCAGAAGATGCTGGGGATCTAGTCACAGTTGAACCACCTGCAGGGTACCTGTTATAGCCATTGGTGGTTTCCCAAGCTGAAGTCCTCATGAACCGACGTTGGGATATGTTCCGGCCACAGGGGGGAAATTCTTCCACAATCAACCTGTGGACTTGAAGATTTGAATTGGTGCACCTGTGTTTGGAATATGGTTACTTAATGTTACTTGTATAAATATAAGTATAAGTATATATATATATATATAAATGCCTATGATATGGTTATTGAATCCCCATTTTGATATGGTAAAATTCCACATTTCTTATGCTTGGATCGTGACGAGGTAGAGGGAATCCCCATGTCTCAATGTCTACTGCATTTGGATCTGTGAAAAAATCCGGATAAGTTATGGATAGTTATAGTTGTAAATCTAGGGTTTCCTATGGTAAATCTATGGTAAATCTAGGGTGTCCTATGGTAAATCTATGGTAAATCTAGGGTTTCCTATGGTAAATCTATGGTAAATCCATGATTTCCTATGGTAAATCTATGGTTTCCTATGGTAAATCTATGGTTTCCTATGGTAAATCTATGGTAAATCCATGATTTCCTATGGTAAATCTATGGTTTCCTATGGTAAATCTAGGGTTTCCTATGGTAAATCTATGGTAAATCCATGATTTCCTATGGTAAATCTAGGGTTTCCTATGGTAAATCTAGGGTTTCCTATGGTAAATCTAGGGTTTCCTATGGTAAATCTAGGGTTTCCTATGGTAAATCTATGGTAAATACATGATTTCCTATGGTAAATCTATGGTTTCCTATGGTAAATCTAGGGTTTCCTATGGTAAATCTAGGAATTCCCAAGTCATCGCCATGACCACGGCGTGATCATCCCACGTCGTCGCAGGCTCTTGGCCGTGTCGGCCTTGGCTGCCTGGTGTTTGCCGGTGCCCTTGGCACAGGTGTGGCACCGAAGCACCGAACTACTTGGAGTGAAGAATCCACTAGGACTGGGATATCCATAGGGATATATAGAATATATATATATAGAATACATGGGGTTATGGTGGGATATCCATAGGGATATCCATAGGGATATCCATAGGGATATATATATAGGGATATCCATAGGGATAGTTCTTATTGTTTGGTGGTTCCTTTATGGGTTCATGGTGGGTTTGTAATCGCATGTTCCGTCAGTTTTGTAGGGGGAAACCCTCGGATGGCGTAAGTTGGTACAACTTACTCTGGTGTAGATGGGGGAGTTGACTAAGCAACAACCAACGGTATGATTTCCTTTGCAGTGTATCTGCTGTAACTACTTGGAAATGTGTGATTTTAAGCATTTTAAAGCCATGAACATTGATAATAAAACCCGCCTTGATCCCACTGGGATGTCAATCCGCGAAAATCCGAATGGGCGAGACTCAATAGCCAATGGATGCCAATAGCTTCGATAAACTAAGTTGATACCCTCCAGCAATAGGAGATGTTCCCATATTTTGCCAGGTGTTCGGATGATTTTCCTATATTTTCCTGCTAAAGCCATGTTTGGTGACACCGGAGGGTATTAACCCCCATCCCACTCGTATCCCATGATTACTGCTGTTATCATTATTGTTATTATTGTTGATTATTGTAATTATTGTTATTGTTGTTATTATATGTATCCCATTATTATTATCATTATTATCCAGTTATCCAATTATTATCTAATTATTATTATTATTATCATTATCCAATTCTTATTATGATTATTGTATATATATATTATTGGAATAATAGTTATATAATTGAATATATATATATAAAGTATATATTAATAATAATAATCCCATCAATATCCAGTGAATATCCCATGAAATCCTCCAGTTGCATCCGGATTTCGCAGTTGAGCCTGGGCTTGTTGCGGCCTCGAAGCGCTGTGGCCTCCGCGCTCCTGGGAGACGTCTTAGGTCCGGTTGGCCAAACATCGAAGGATTTCCCTAGGGATTTCCTTAGGGATTTCCCAGGAAAATGGCGATTTATAGTGGATTTTCCCATTAAAAATGGATAAAAATGGTGATTTTCCATAGCTTTTTGTATGTTCACCAGAGGGTAGGATGGTTTTGGGACCTGAACAAATGGATGTGGGTCAAAATGGAAGACCTACTGTAGGGGACCACAGATGTGAATGTCTAGTTTCGTATTAACCATCCAATTATTGGGGTACCTAATTTTGACCCATACCCAAATGGCTGCGAGTCAAAATGTAAAGCCCCGATCCATACCCTGAACCCACAGGCCGATGCATACCCCCGATCCATACCAAAACGCAGGTGATCCAGACCGTTCCATACCTCTGGATCACCGCGGGCCGATCCATACCCGAATTTTGACACAACCCCAAATATGGGGAAAACATGCATTTGATGCTTCGTCATCATTTTTCCCATGAACATTGAGTGAAAATGGGGTGGTATGTGTTCAGACTGGGAGTTGACGAAGGGAATGAGGGTTTAATTAACAAACGATAAACATGGGGATGGATTGAACAAACACAAGTGGAACAACAAAAGTTTTGTTTTTAACTCCAACAACAAAGATGAGAAACAAGTTCAACCAAAAACATGAACATATGATGAAGAAAGGGATATTTTACCAACAACAATGAGAAACAACGAGGATACTAACCAAGAAACCTTTGAAAACCACACGGTGTTTTCAACAGACGAACCCGAGCAGTCGATGGATTTCACATCCCCCACACTAAATACCCCCCTAGAGACCAGGGCTTTACATTATGTGGGACCATTTAAAACTATTTCAGAGGTGTTTCATATTTAGGGGTGTGTTTGATCATCATGTTTGATTCTTGCTCGGTGATTTCCTATATTATATATCCCATTATACCCCCCACTATATCCATTCTATAGATTATAGATGATTTAAGATGTGTTTATATAATATGAACGGATGATGGATTATGAGATGGCGAGCTCAGCTATGGGTTTGTCCGAAAATGGGGTACCCAGCGGGCACCCTTAAAAATCCAATATGAACATGTCCCCATTGATATCTAGCCATTTTGGGGTATCCTGGTATCCTCCATTTTTGGCTTTACTTTGTTGCAGTAGTGATTCTTTGTGGTTGTAGGATCACCACTTCCATGCGGCAGCAACATGGACAAACTTTCCTGTCTGAACAAGCGACGAATACCAGACCTGTTGAGTGCAAAGTGGTGTTGGTGTATCACTAAGGTTACTCAGGTTTATGCTGAAATATTATCCCTATATATTCCTATAATTCACTATATATCCCTATATAATGTTATATATATATATATCATCTGGTTATTTAACATAGCCATGGAAAATCACCATTTCAAATACTAGTAGGTAAACCATCTATAAATGGTCCATTTTCCATGGCTATGTTAAATAAACAGAGGGTATATATTATATAATATTTGAAAGGGGATGTTCACAGGGGATCTGCATTTGGCCGGACAATTCGCCATGAAAATATTCATTCATTGCGGATTTTCCCGTTGAAATGGCGACTTCCCAGCGTTTTTTTTTGGGTACTTTGAGGGTAGATTAATTGTTTGAACCATCATTTGGATATCAGATTGATTACAAGATGGTTGCCCCTAGTTGCTAAGATTGTTTTGACATAGTGTCTGGGGTTTATATTGCACATCTATACTTCATTGGGATTATAAACTAGCTTCATTTAATTTGACCATGGAGCATAGTTCATATTAATTAACTTAATTGATCCATTTAGTTCGATGATAATCCCATATCATCCCAAATCTACTGTATATCAAACGTCAGGATTTTGAGCTATCCATGGTGAATTGCTAGATCGGGAACAAAGTATCATAGCTGGAATAGTTCACGGGATCTAAAACAAACTCCAGTGATATTCCAGATTCCAGATAGAACATATAAAGAAAAGAGCATCCCGAATCCATAATTTCCGAAACTGCCTTTTGTGTGCTTAGTCATGAGAATAGCAGATGTTGCCGCTGCCTGGGTTTAACACGAATGCATGGTCAGTCCACCTGTTTGATTGCAGGTTGCCGAATAGCTCCACGCAGCAAGCGCCCTTGCTTGGTTACACGCGTGTAGTCGCGCCAGCAACAGGGCGGTGCTCCCCCAGCAACTATATTTACCAAGAACCAACTTAGCTAACGAACTGTGGCACCATCTTGCACTTGTTGTAGTCAGTCATGCTGTTGCAGGCGTTGCCTTCTTCTTTTGCCTCCGTTCTTCGCCGTGCTGGGGCTTGATCCAGGTGCGGGCATGGCTGTCATGGGAAAAGTGGGAGGCGCTTTGATGGCGTCCTGCTAGCAAGAGCGTTTCGAACGCAGGTATAGTCATTGAATCGCTGAAAAGCACCAAATTCGAGGAAATCTTTGAATTTTCCGCCCGGCAAGTTTTCAGCCATGCATTTAATTCAAAACAACAATGTTTTGTATGTTTGTTTTTCAACAATTGGCGTGTGGCCACATAAGTCCTGCAAACTTGCCAAGCACAGACAAGATAAGGGACTCTACGTAGCCCACGGCGGGATATTCCGATGCCAGTTTGCCAGTCAGCACTACATTTTTTGCATTTACAACTGGCATTCCAAATGTTTAGTTTTAAACCCCAAAGAAATCGTTTTTGTTCACATTGTTTTTCACAGAGGTCTATTTGCAAACAGCGCAGCAGTTTGCCATGTTTGTGTTCGAGTTTATTGGCGCATCCGCAGGCACTTCACCAGAAGTCGGCGGAGGCGAAACTAGGGCGGGCTGATTCCAATTTTTGGGCGCAAAGATGGGACAATCCCAGAAAGGAAACCCGAAAAATGCAGCTGAGCCATGTTGAACCAACCATATTAACATGATGAAACCAATTTTTTCGCGCATATGTTCCCTGAAATCAACCAAAACAGTCGCTCGGCGAAACAACTGGTGGGTAAATTCATCACTTGGCACATTTTACATAACTATTTTAATCACATTGGTAAAGCGGGCCCCCAAATCATCTAAATTCGACCATTTTCGGCAATTTTTTAATCATTTTAGTATTGACCCCAATGGTCTTGTTGGGGGTCCCCCATTTTAAGAAACCCCATATGTTTTTGTTTGTTATGGAGTGTTGTGTGGTATGTGCTTGCCAAATGTAAAAGAAGAACGGGATCATTTGGGACCTCCGTGAAAGCAAACCGAACTCTTCGGCTGCTTGATTTGGCAGAACACGCCTTGCAAACATTCCGAACTTGCCGAGATGTTTGGTTCACTGCAGTCGACAACGTGCTGGCAAATTCATACAAACTCATACAAATTCAGAACCACATTGGCGAAGGGGTTTCCAAAAAGGCGGCGACAGCCCCTGAAATTGATTTAACCATTAAATCTGGTCGACAAAACCCAACATGTAGAGTCGTAAACGATGATAGTTAAAATATGTTAAAGTAAACACGACCCTAAGGAACCATTTATCGCTCCATTTTTCCCTTTGCCGATGACGTTTTGAAAATGTTTGTTTCTCTTCATGAACATCATGTCGTCTCAATGGTGGGTATGTATGAAGATGTCGAATGACGTCGAAAGCACTGTTCAACATGGCATCCTTTTGAAACGTACCTGTGTTGCAAACAAAACATATGCAAACCACAGTGAAAAACATATACAGCATATTCACACACATAGGCTTTGATTTGGTCCGGGGCAACCTTTTTCCTAAAATGGGATCCCTAAAATGCATGGGTCTGTGATTTGTCATGATGTTTTCGAATTGGGATTGCCATTCTGGGGTATCTTTCATGTTTGGACATTTTTTTGTTTGTATTCAGTGTATTTCAATTTAAATGTCTATCATTTTGGCGCTGCGTTTAGGATGAAAACATTTTTACCTGGTAGCAACGGTTGGCCCTCCTACAGTGATTGAGTAATGTTACCATGTGCAAACATAGTAAGGGATCATAAGGGATCATTACTCTTTGGTAATCGAACCTAGCTATGGAAAACCAACACTTTGAATAGGTAAATCATCCACTGTTAGATATCCTGAGGGTTGCATTTTTCCTAGATGTTCTCTACATTATGGTAAAATTTCTGTAGATTTAACATGATTTAGTGCGTTATTTGGATGATCATGGCGGGTTGCTCGTTTGATTAGCAGGGGGTAACGACAACTTGCAACTTGGGTCTGGCCATTTTTTGGAGCAATGGGTTGGATGGAAACTTAGGTATTGTCCAACGGGGATCCAAGATTAGCCATGTTTCAAAGGAATCACGGATATATGTAATTATTACATACATACATACATACATGCATGCATGCATGCATGCATATATATTTTATTTAATATGATTAATATGTATATAATATGCAGTCAATCATAATATTTATATATATATATATATACATTTTATAAATATGTAATTTTATTTTCATAAATATGTAATATATATATTATTATATATGTAATATTTACAATTATATATATAATATGTATATATTTATATAATTAAATATGTATACATATATATAGTTATATCATATAATCACTTACACATAATATATACATATATAATGTCATCATGGGATGCATTGGGAATACCAGACCCAATCCTCAATGAAACATGGCTACCAGATCTACGCAGATGTTTATATAAAAACCATGGCATAAAACATGCCAACGTTACAAACTCTACGAAACTTATCTGTTCCCGTTCCCTTTTTCCGTCAAAAAATGGCGGGGTCGTAGGGCCAAAGCCAGGGCGAAGCGCTGGTGCGACTTCATGACAACCTCACCACGTTTTGGGGTGGTTGTCATTGGTGCCGTCCCGCCGGTTGGAAGTTGTGGGTTCTACCGAGTACCACACTGGAATTGATAGGGAATGGGGTAGAAGCCCCAAAAACACGAATTGTTGACATGTTGTGTAGATTTACATATTCATATTCATATACTCATCTATAAGTAAGGCACGCAGAACCGAAATCTGTGGCACCCTAATTTTTTCCAAAACGCTTCAATCGGATTCTGTGATCCCATTCTGTGTTGACCCACAGATGTTTGGTGCTCCCAAGTGACAGTTTTGGGGAAGCGGCACGATCTTACTTCCACAAGTTTCGTGAAGATCATGTACGTTGATAGTTCGGGGAAGTCTCCTGAAGATGCATAATCTCCGAACCAAGATATGCGTATGCTGTATACCCAAATAGAATTGATTATTCTTAAAATTTGGTATATCAACAATCCACGGAACCAACTGAAACACTGCATGTCATTTATTGAACTGATTATTAGGACACTATCGTCTTGAGATGCAATCAGAGAGAGAATACACTGCCTCTATGTTTCTTCACGGGTTGTAATATAGCGTCCATCGGTTTGACATAATTTCATGTTTTTTATCCCCATTGTGGGAATGAATGACCATCAGCCTCATTCCTCCCATGGCAATCCATGGCATATATTTCAGCTGACTGTTACACCACTGCAGCCTCTCAAATCTTGGCTTCAAGACAAGACTCAGCTTACGACTTCCGGCCAGAGGAGCAGAACCTGAGGGACATCAGGACGTATTATATATATATAATATTATATTATATATATCTGGTTGGTGGTTTGGAACATGAATCTTATTTTTCCATATATTGGGAATAATCATCCCAACTGACACTGACTTTCATATTTTTTAGAGGGGTTGAAACCACCAACCAGATAGATATTTGAGGAAGGAAATGGCCACTTTTCAGCTCTGGCACTGGGCTGAAAAGTGACTCTAACAAAAACTCTGACGGCATGGGACTCAGTTACCAGGATAAGACATCCAATCAGTTTGCACTTATTTGACACAGACCCTGAAGATCTGAAGTCTATCACTTTTTTACCATAGATATTAAGAAATCCAAGGCAACACCATTAGTTCTGATTGGCAATTATTGTCATTGATCCCAACATCACCAGAAGAGTTACTTGATTCGAGAGGAAGGACAACAACAGAGGTTTATGAATGGGATATTCACAGAACATGGCTTCACCTGAAATCCAGTCGATCTCATTTTCAGTCGAAGAAAAAAACGTACGCATTCGGCGACCTTTGCCAGCTATGGTCTGGATACCTAGTTTGGAGATGTTTGGGGCCAGCGTCTTTTGGCCCATGTGAGTTGTGCCCGAACATCCCTGGGCCAACTGAACGTTAGGGGAACCTGGGTAAATGGGCATATTTAATGGTTGTTTAATGGGTATTTGATGGGACGTGATATCATGGTTAATGTCCATTAATTAATAGTGATGAATCATGGGATGAATCACTATGAATCACTATTAATTATAATCAAACATCATGGATTACTCACTGGTAATCAAACATGGCTTCCTGGAAATTCATCCATTTGGTTCTCTTTGTTTTCCCATAACAAAAACCCATCGGTTTATATCGGTTCAATGCGAGGATTTCCCGAGACCAAAACCGAACGCCCCAAAGTTGGAAGATCTGTCATGGAGTCTCAGGAGCCATCAAGAATTAGTTCTTTTTATTAAGGATTGAATATAGGTTTGTTCAAAAATAGATGGAATATTCCCCCGAATTCCAAATGGATTGTTATGTTCCTATGTTTTCCCATTTGTTTGGGCCAATTGGGGAGCCTAATGCTCAGACACAATATTGTATACTTTCATCTTTCATCCCATGTTGCAATGAACCCAACTGACAAAAATCTTAGATTAGCGACCACCACTTCTTTCGGTGTAAGTACCGTTTTGAGGATTGGATTGTTTGAAATCTATGTTTAGGTCCCGTTTTCTTAGATTAGCGACCACTTCTTAGATGTGACTGATTCTGATGCAACTTCCACTGAGCTGCAGCTCCAAGGCGCAGGTTCTCACCTCGGTGGAACCGGAATCCGAGAAATTCGCCGGGGACACATGGCGGGGCCTCTGGGAAATCCTCGAACGAAAGGGATGTTTTTGTCGCTGGGGAAAAGTATTCATCTGTAAATGGTGGATTTTTTTTGGTTGCCATGTCAGATTACCAGAGGGTTTCCGGTATCTTTGCATTGAAAGTAGTTAAGATTTTATGACACTTTTCTGGTGTCTTTGCTTTGGGGCATGTAGTTAGAGTAGTAGGCATCTACCATGGCTGAGTAAGGGTGTATTGTTTATTTCTTGTGGCGGTTTCAAGCCGCCATGTTGTGATGGATTGATTCAATCACCAGAGCCCCCGCCCCCACCCAAAGTTTCCAACCAAACATGGTCGCCGTAACATGGTCTAATTATCAAGGGATATCCCCCTGCAATCTCGCATGGCAATCGAAAATCACTATATGCAGCACTCAAGTAATCTGCGAATTTCTTTTGTTTCATTACTGGCTTTGAATGGAAGAAAGTACGTTCCCTGTTTTTGCTGCTTTTATCCAAATGTGACATTGGTGAAATAGGCAACAAACGAATCCCGGTTTGGGTGGTTGAATCCCAACTTGTTTTGGCTCTGAGTTCTCCCTATGTTGATGTGCAAAATCTCCTTACGTTGATTCACAAATCCAACTGTTGTGCTTGCATCAACATAGTTTGATGATTGGATCCACATATATTGATACTGAAATCATCATAAATCCAACTTTGATCGTTAAATCCAACCGTTTTGGCAGTTAAAACTCACAGAGTTTGATGCTCAAAATATGGGGATGAGTCGATGAGTCAAACATTAAGCCCTATGGCACTATGGGACCACCGATTTTAGTATATGTTTAAGTTTAGTATTAACCATGTAAGTATTGGGGGTATCCAATTTGGACCTATAACTCATATCTCTGTCTTCTGCGAGCCGAGTTTTTCCGAGGCCTTGTCTCCCACCGCAGACCTCGATGAGATTCGAGAGCCAGGGACACCTGGGGGTTGGAACGCAGGGGCAGATCAGTCACCAGTTGACGCTTGGTTAACTATGTTAAATAGGGGGGTTCAAATCCCATGAAATTTTTAAATGGTGGGATGATTTCATTACATTCAAAACACATTAAATCCTATGGAATCACAATTTTTTCATCCCACCCCATCCATCCATCATTTCGTCTCCTTAGGTTCCTGCGCTGTGAGTCCTTGGAGCGAATGCAGCTGTGCATGCGCCTGCAGAAGCAACAGGACCCCGGGAGGACCTGAGCCATGGAATTTATACCTGGTTGATATATCCCATATGATCCATGTATGGTATATTTACCTACATTTGGGTGATTTTTAGGGCAAATGTTGGTAAATATTCCATACATGGAGCATATGGGTATGGTTATATGCTTGATATAGTTTTTTTTTTAAAACCTGGGATTCCTATCATATTGGTGAATCTTGGGGAATATGGGGGAATAAGGGGATACATATACTATGGTTCATATGGTAGTATATGCATGGTAATATATGTCTTGGTGAGTTAGTGTTAATAATTATGGGGATTCCAATAGTATTGGTGAATATAGGGATTCCTATTTTAAGATTACTATGGTAGTTTAATATGATTGATTAAACGGTTAATATGGTGATTATGGTTGATACATGTTGATATAGTAACTTATGGGTCAAAATATGGAGATGAGTCAAAATTAAAGACTTGGGGGACCACATATTGAAACGTCTATTTTTTTAGTATGAAGCATCCAATCATTAGGGTACCCAATTTTGACCCATACCCATATCCCGAAATTGGAAGAACACCATCCCAGGATCTTATACCACGGGATATCAAGATCAAAATTGAGATCCAACGGATGTTCCCATGATTTTCCCATTGATTTTCCCATTTCTAGAGGATTTCCCCATGGATTTCCCCATGGATTTTCCCATTGATTTTCCCATGGATTTTCCCATTGACTCCCCCCATTTCTAGAGGACTTCCCAGCTCGCCTCAGCCGCTTTCCGCGACAGGAGCTGTTGGAGCAGCTCTCCGAGGGCTTCGACCCAGTCACGTCAGGGGTGTCAGCGGAGCACCATGTGGTGGGATAGAGAGGGATTATAGCTGGGAAAGGAGAAACAATCCAGCTATTTCCCTGGATATTTGATATTTGTATGGAATATTTGTCGAGTCATAATGGATACTCATAGATATTTGATGGATATATGATATTTGTACGGAATATTGGATGCGTGTATTATTTTATATAATGAGGAAGAAAACATGGGATAATTAGCTGTAATGTTGTAAATACTTCAAATGTGCGAAAAAAGTTAAGGCAACTTTGTGACTGGATGGGTCATTGTTTCAGATTCTGAACTGCGTTTTAAGCAACAAAAAAACATTTTGGGGTTTCAGCAACAAATCTGTGTTGCTTGGAATATCCATGACGAATATCTAGGATACATCCTGAGGCTGCATGGCACGCTTCGATCCGACGCCAGCCATTCGGGGTCCAGAGTTGCTTGCCTCGCTGAAAGTGCGGAGATGGGATCTGAGGAGGCATTCGAAATCACTGATTTGGTGATCTACCAGCCTGCTGATGAGGCTGGAGGGAAGTGGGCCAAGGGAATACAGAACAATGGACCCTGGGATTTTTGGAGAAATGACACTTCTCAAGTCTTGACTACAGAAGGAGCAAGAGCATTGAAATTTCTTAACAATTTTGAGGAAACAAGCAGGGTGAGCCAGCACTGTTTCTAGTGGTAAGTGGATCTTTTGTCCATATCGGTCCCTGAGGATCCCACCAACCTAGAGCTGGTTGGCCTCAAGGAGTTTCAGATCGCCAAAGCGTTGCTGGATGGCCATGCTGCGAAGCTGAGCCAACGGATCCCATCGCAGTGGGGTGATGTGCACCTCTTCGACGTGTGCCTCTTCCTGGGCTTCGCGGATACGGCGTGGGCATTGGTCAGGTATGGTGTCGAAGGCTGTCAAGTGGAGATGCACCATCTTGGGCCTTTTGGTACCATTAAAGGTCCAGGTGACGTGACTTTCCTATCCGAGCCGTACTGCTGGGGGTTTCCTGTGGATCGGGGCACCTGGATGCCTGGTTGGAATTGTCACATCCAAGATGCCGTTGAAGCAGCCGAGAAAGTGGCCAGAAAGCTGTGGTTTCCAGATCTCTTGGACATGGTCTGCTCCGAGCAGAAGCTGGGATTTGCCGTATCTGCAGAAGCAATGGCACGTCTGCTAGATATAGCCATCTTGGCAGGCAACAAAGAGGCGGCGAGGGTCCTGCATGGCAAGTGCGCACTCTTGCCACTGCGTCGGTGGTATCCAGCCTTTTTCATTAACTGTAAGGAATATCCCTTCGCAATTCCCATTCTCCGAGCCGCACTTGCAGTCGGTATCGACTTCAGTGAACTTTCCGTTTGTTTTTGCGATGATCAAATTGAATGGATTCCATTCAGTCAGGCGTTGTTTCTTCTCTCGACCTCTCTGTGGATGGAATTGTGTGGTTTCCTACCACCAAGCCCCTGGCGACCAGAGCACAAGAATAATCTAGCAAGGTATTTTCTTCTACGACGAGATGCTCAGGAAAGGCCAGATTCAGATGACTTGAACAGATTCAAGCTTGACACTAAAAAGCTCCAAAATGCTGGCAAAGCAGAAGTCGATTTGAGGTGCCTAAGAATGGAGCTAAGATGCGTACGCCACAGTCAGAGCTTCCTGAGTTTGCTAGACCTTGCAATAGTCTGGGGTCAGCCGGACTGTGCAGAGATTTGTGCTTCTATGGATATGGAGTTGACGGATTTCGGCCGCCAGTCTTGCTGGGATGCCCTCTATTGTGTGAGTGCAGATTTCAGGGCATTCTATTTTTATAGTCGACCCAGGACGCATCCCCTTGTTGCGGCTTCACCTGATGCTTGTATGGATGCGGCAAGATCTGCAGCAATCTCTGCCCTGAGAGTAGCACACAAACGACATGTCACAGAGAAGGGATTTGTACTTTACCAAACCCTGCTGAAGCGCTTTGATCCGAGTCCCTTCCCGCTGTGGATCTTGGATGAAATCCTTGCATTGAGTGTCCGGGCACCGACCATCATTGAGCAACTGCAGCTTTGGGAAGGGGTAGCAGGTTGGGACACGGAAATCAAATCTCAAGACATGGAAGCTGACGGCGGAAAGGCTGAAGTTTCAACGGAACAAACTGCTTTGAAGTCACGTGGGCAACAATCAGGTGCCTCGCTCTGGCAGTGTTTCCAACGGAGAGGGCTGAGTATGTTGACCGGGGAGCATAATGTATGATGATATATAAAATATATAGATATAACTAAATTACAATAAGACATATATAAGATATATGTATATTATATATATATATCGATATACAATGAAATATATACGGTAACGACATTTAAATATGTGGAGGGCGGTCCAGGCAGCAAGGCCCCGGAGGTAGTATGAAATACCAGTTCGTATATTTAAATGTAGTTGCAGTATGTTTAAATCAATTGGATTCCGTATGTTTAAATGGCTGGGCGGGCCAAGGAAAACCTTCCCGGAGGTAGTTTAAAACACCTATTCGTATATTTAAAAATCCGTATATTTAAAGTGTAGTTACCGTATATATATATATATATGAGCCATGTTAACCAGGGGTTTGGTGTGTATCTAGGGTTTGGGGTTCTATCTAAACCAAACCTACTTAATCCACCTCGGTCAAACCTGCTTGATGAATCCACTATGGTGCAAGCCTACTTTATTGATCCACTTTGGGTCAAACCCCTAGATCCCTAGATAGGGAACAACCCAGTTAGCAAAACCCCCCCATATAGTTTTAATTTGTAACAATTAATATGTACCTTCAAGCACCTGCAAGCCAGGTTACACGGATGTCGAATACCCAGAACTTCAAAATCCCATGTTGTTTTGGATGCCAAGACATGCAGGTACACCGTGGTACACCTTCATGATTCCTATATCAAGACCCAGCACACACTTCATGCAAATGCAAGAGCCATACTGCTTTGTACTTTCATGTCTTTTAGTTTCCATGTCCATCATTGGATGATTATGATGATTGTTCCTGCCGACTAAATGTTTCACAGGCGAACTGACATGATGAAATGGCCAACCGGCACAGCATTTGGCCTCATTTGCCGCTACTTAGGCGCCATCGACACCGATGATGCTGTCGTGGCAGATGACAAATCCACCGACGACCTCGATGACCTCATGATGGCCTTGCAGGCCAGCCGAGACGAGGTACCGGCGTTGAACGTCGATGGCGTGTGCATTTGGCGCCTGACTCGGCAGTCGAAGTGCGCGGAGGTGGCTATGGCTGTGTGGATGGGGGCGGACAAGCTTGCCTGTGGTTACATTGTTAACCAGCAATGATGAACTGGTTTGATGGAACCTCTTCATGTTTTGAGAATGTGTTTAGAATGACTGCCTCATTTCCTCATGCTGTATGTGGTTTCAAATTTCAGGATTATTTGAGACATGTGTGTTGCCACACCCTGCCAAACAACAATTTTCCGACTAAATTGGACCATGTTCTGCCTGCAGTACAGGATTTAGTTTGTTCAACATGCAGCAACTTCATTTCAAAGCTAGCTCATCGCGGCCCACAGCAATTGGTGCATTTTATAGAGTGATGAGTGCAACTCCGACCATGGGGTTGGTAGGAAACATTGTAACATATGGAAAAAAATCATTTGATGGAAATCAGTCAAGTTTGATTAGAATACTTCCTTGGGTCTTGGAGGTTCTAGAGGTGGCCAGAGATGGCCAAAACTGCTAATCTATATTTGAGCTGTTTAAGATATTTAAGTATCCTGCTGCATCTCTCCTAATAAACATATTGAACGTGACTCACCGACCCAACTGACATGGAGAGGTCAATTGCATTCCCGGCAGGTCAACGAAGTGCTCTTGGATCCCACCGGGCCCTTGGCCGCCTTGCACCAGCGTGTTTTGGATGCCGGTTGTCAAGTGGATCCCCAGGGCAACCCGGTGAAGGCACTATTTGTACCGTGCACACAGCAACAACTTGTGGAATTGCAGGGGTTGGCTGTTCATGGCTGCTCAGCTTAGTCTTATGGATGGCAGGGTGTTGTTTCATTCATGTGCTGCAGTGGTAGCAGTTCCACTCTGATGACACTTCAAACACTTTTCTAAGAACATAGCTATTCGAGATGTAGAGCGGCATGCAGATGGTCAAGTTGCGATGATTATGCAATCTCAGTGGGTGGTGAGACATTGTAAAACAATACTCGTACAATTTTATATGTTCGTTGTATGAGTCTACATCGTGCCAGTTGATCAGTTGCAAAAAAACTGTAGAACATATTAAAAAATGATAAACCATGTAAACGTTGCAACCAATTGCATCCCCATTTACTGTGCCAGAGAGGGTCGTGCTGGGCCTCGAGACACCTCTGGCCGAGGCTATGAATTGTGCAAGGATCAACACCTGCTCGCGTTGCAGGAAGATGGCCCGGTGATCACTCGAGCACTGCGCAGTCCCTTGATGGTCCGTGAGCTGGTTTAGGTTTCCAGAAGTTGTAAGGCATTGACAGATATTGAAAGTAAAATTATACTGGGTTACTTCAATGGTTTCTATAAGTAAAAAGATATTGAAATATATTTAGGTTTCCAAAATTATGATGGTTACTATATTTGAACTGGGTTGATAACTTGCTTTTACCTGTCACGCATAGTCCAGTACCCAAACGGTATGATATTCATTCGTACTGAGGCGTGAGTCGCTGATGCCTTAACGAACTGAAAGTGAAATATCCAAAACAGTATGACTGCACCAACATGTATAGTCAGTGGTTTCAACTCTTCAAAGTTTTTTGGAAAATGACTCTAATTGGCCCAGCTAGGCGAACGATTATTGCCTTCAACCAGGCTTAATTCGGTGCGATATACAATATACACCCTGAAAAGTAACATGGAACTCCAAACTGCAAACAAGGGTCTGGAAGATTATTTTGCTATTGGATAATGCAATTTGTACGTTCCAACTTGAATTTAGAGGGCGTAACGGCTTAAGCCTGGTCTCCCATGATCACTACCTCACTACCTGAGGCTGCTTCTCCAAGAAGGTTCGGCCAAAGCTGAAGAAGCTGTATCCACGTGGAGCGGTCGGTGACGGAGCCCACAGCCAGCAACCTTCGAGCTCAACGGATCCGCCCGATGATCACGAAGCTGACATGGATGAGGCTTGTCATGTCCAAATGCTCAATGTATTGTATATTCACGGATATATTTCCCCCAAGTATATGGTCCAAATGTGAGTCATTAAATCTACCATGAAGCATTTTGGATGGGTTTAATGGCAGGAGCGGAGACGGTGAATGCCTGCATTCTGATCACTTTTAGATCCCCAGCAGCTGGATCAATTTCCACATTTCCGAGTTGTAGTGTCAACTTCGGATTAAGAATACCCCCTAATTAGTCAACCAGGGTTTAACAATCTGGGTTGACATTGATGTTGCATGTTGCAGTGGTATGTGGTGTTCAGCACCTTGATACACCATGATTTCCAACACTCGACCAGTTTCGGTGGGGCTTTCCCTGGGTTTGCTAGATCCTTATCTCTTGAAACACTCATCTATATTTATCTATTTCACAAAGTTCTTCAACATCCATTTGACAAAGTTCTTCACCAATCCAATCCTGTTGCTTCAACCCCCTTCCCCCTGAACCCTCAGGAAGATGCGAATGAGCCCATGCTTGTCTTGGAGGCGGGGCTTCGTACTGATTCCAGCGTAGGGTATCCGTCCTACCAGGTCCAGTGAATGAAAAGCCAAGAATGCAGGCGCAACCCCAAAAACCAGCAACACTGAAATTGGTTTGCCATGGTTTGGCCAGAAATGGGATATGATAAAGGAACATAGAGGATATGCTTCCAAATAGCAAGTATCATGGGAAAAGTGATGACAAACCATTGGAATTTTGGATAATTACTCCACTACTGGACACACCCAAAGGTTCAGGACAGTGGTATTTCAGGAAGCTTGGTTTGATTGCGTTTCATTAAATGCTTTGACTGCTGAAAACGTTTATTTAGATACAATACCAGGAACATGCATCAGTTATTCTACGGGGATACACGTGTAGGAAGGTAACAGCACTGGACCCGGTGGTGTCTGTGCCCCGACTGTACAGCCCCACCGCGATCCGACGTCAGGGTCCCGTGCCTTGAGGTTGTGATCCGGTGATATTTCAAGGATTTGCAGTTTTGACCCCACTGCCATCGCGGACACTAAGATGATAAAGATGGAGATCCCCCAATGACTATGACACAAATAAACTGTAGTTTGATGTAGACAGAAGAAAATGTTGATCCCTCAAGATATCCAAGAACTTATACTGTATGACATCTAAGGGCTCAAAGCCAGCTTGGAGGAGTGTATGTTTGGTGGAAAACACACCATGATGGTTGTGGCATCGTTGACGTGATGGCAAGTGCACATTCCTTGGAGCATTCTGCTCCAAGGTGGAATCAAGCTCGGGTGCAGTGGAGGTTTGTGACAGCACAACATTTTTTTCTTGTAAGTAGATTCATAATATGGCCATGCAGCCTTTAATTCTCAACAGCTGATGTAGGTTAATAACTTGATGTTAATTTGGGCATGGGTAATTAGCTTGTTTTGCCCTAAAAACTGGAAGGTTTCATGCCAGGAAATTGTACGTTTGTCTCTTTGTATTGTTTTTTTTGGAGCTATATGATATGATACATATCCACCAACCATCAACCAAAGGTTTCTGCCAGTTCTTTCAGCACAAATCCTCCACCACCCGAGCTTTAAGACCCCCGCACCAGGGTGCAACAACGCTGTGAGACGATGCATGGCCGTCCACCCAGGGTCTCGTGCCTTGGCGACGTGCCACGCAGCAGAGCAGCGCCGCGCCGGATGGAAAAGTAGTCTGATTGCAGACTAGTCTCAAGGCCTGAAGTCACTCCGTCTGATTCTTGACTCATGGTCCCATGGTTGTTGATTCTGATGTTTACTTATGACATTTGAATCATTTATGGTTATTTTTGTCCCCACCCATCCTTTTCCAATTGCAATAAGCCATACAGTGTTGAATGCCCAGCTGCCCTCCTCAATCGAACCCTTACCGTCATACTGAGGCCCTTGAAGGTGCGGTGGTTCCACTCTGGGGCGGTTGGCATGAGGGGATCACTAGAACCTCTAGGGGAAGCTGTACATTCGATAGGTTGGAGATGGTTGGAGCACCTATTTCAGATGTTTTAAAACAATACCAGATGTATGATATTCAGAATCAGACTATGTATCATTATATATTTAATTATATACACTTTACACATTAAGTACAATCATATACATTGGCACATAGCTGAACGGCGTGTCCATGTGATCAATACCTTGGACATTGAATTCAGGGGTTAAAAATGGTCCAATCCCAGGTACAGTTTTCAGTGATCCCATGTGATCCTATGGTAGCGACAGGAGGGCACAATGGACCGGAACGAGGAGGGGATTTTGACACCGTCTGGCTCCATGGTGTGTAGACGGGTGGATACCCAGTTGGGATTAAACCGTGAGACATTGGAATTTAGCCAATGAATAATGGCACCTGAATGTATCTCAAAATAGGAGATACTCCAAAATAGCAATTTAGCATAGTTTTGATGGAGAAAACTATGAACACATAGTGGATTTCCGTGTTCTAAATGTTGAGACAACCCTACATGGATATCTCCCACCCGCGTGCATGTTTTCGGAAGTGAGTACAATGAGTATGTTGATGTATATAAATAATTGTATGTATATATATATATAATAGATAAAAAAACATATATAGATAGAATATGATACAATATGATTACCATATGTATAGTGCTGTATGTATATTTGCAACCTGCAAGTCCCCAGCAACAATCACGGAGCATCTGTGAGTTTCAGGTGCCGTACTGACCGCTGCAGACACTCAAAGATTCACGGTGACCAATGTTCTTCAGTATCGGGTTGAGTTCAAGTCTTGTTGAGATACAATGCTCATCAAAGTTCCAAACAGTTGGGCACTTTGGCACAAATTTGGGAAATCAAAACATGTCCAGTCAAAATTCACCAAGATTGGCGCCAGATGGACATCCCAATATAGTCTTTCCTGCTGACTCAGCAGCGATTTTGACCCCTACATATGGTGTGCAGTATCTCAATGATATGCAGCCCAGTGAAGCCTTCACCAAAGGGCCCACTATGTCCCTAATGGCCGTCAGAACTATCACTGGGTTTGCCAGACTTTGTCACAACCTAATCATCATTCAGATGATATACGATTTGGAACTACCATACATGATCATACATGTTTTTTTTCCTTGCTAGGTTCAGTTGTATTATTTTGTATTTACATTTCCTACTCATTGAATGCTGCCTGACTCTCTATTTGTCACTTTCGGTGTTTCCAAAACTGGGGTACCCCAAAACCAATGATTTCTCCATTAAGAATTGACCAATTTTATATAGATGAAAACATGAAAAAAATGGTTCCCCATTTCTGGAACCTCCATTTATATCCATTTATTATTTATAGTTGGGTAGATTCTGAGTGTCGCAGGACCCGCGAACCTTGCGGATGGCAGGCGCGTCTTGGAATCCAGCCCAAAAGGCACTAAACATGCTGTCTTGGGTGAGAGAAAGAAATGACAGGTGAAAAACGGGAATTCTATGATGAACATCAGCCAGATGGGTCATGTTGCTTCGAAGTTGTGCGGGCTGTTCTGGAGTATCATGGTCTATGGGGTCATGTAGCTTTTACGTCGAGTCATCGGGTTGAGTTGGATATTTAAACATTTACCATCTGGTTATTTAACATAGCCATGGAAAATGGCACATTTATAAATGATGTTCCCATTAAAACCTCCATTTATAAGGGATTTTCCATGGCTATGTTAGGTCATAACCTTATGGTATCATTTGATGTCCCAAGTTTCGATCCTGCTGAGTGCGGAATCAGTTCCCTACCAGGAGGTCAAGGCTACCTTTGATGCCCACCAGCAACAGGGTTCATATTTGATAGCAGAGGCCGTACCCAACATGATTTCATGCAGGTTGACATATTCTACAGGGACAGAGCCCATTTTCATCAGCATTGCTGGCTTCAAGCCATGGATTTGGAACTTTCACCATAGACTTTCTTTTGACACGGGGGTATGCAAATATATATATATATAATATACAGCATATTATTATTAATATTACTATATTATTATTCTTCTTCTTATTATTATTTATTGTTTATTTATATGTATATATGCCATTGTGGAGCCTGCCATTGACGGTTAAAAAAGAAAACGTATTGATCATTTTCCGTCAAAATGGTGACCAGTGACCATCGCCAGTGGCTCCACAACACGTGTCGCCGCAAAAAAGGCACCTGCCGAAAGCAGCTGTACGTGGAGGCCGTGTTTCTGGCAGCAATGGAGTGGTACCTTACAACAAAAAACTAACTTGTATAATTATAGATCAAATATATATATATACATACAGTAATTATATGTATATTAATGTATGATTGCAAATTGTGATTGTGATTTTTTTACTACCATATTAATGTTCATTATCATTATTGTATATGATTGTTATGATAATTGTGCGTACTGCGTTTCATGCCAAACACCATCAATGGTGGATTTCACTATCTTCCACCGGGGTTATTGCTGAACTGCAGGTATTTGGGGAAACCAGAAACTCTGGTGGAATGTATATCGGATCTATTCTTTTTAATGGCCCCATGGGAATGAGTTGGTTTAGAATCCCCATGTAGTTCCATCTATCTATGTTTAAAGCATCAAATTCACCGGTAGGTGTAGAACCCATTTAACTATCTTTGGGGGATTCCATATTTGTATAGGAATTCTCATCAACTCCGCACAAGCCCTGAGCCGATCCGTTGAAACAGTGCCAGGTGGATGCGTTGAAACGATCCGTTGAGAACCTCACGCAGGATGTGAAGGAATTGCAGGACAGCGGCGGTCCAGCAACATGTTACATGTTGGAATTGAAGCTACCAAAAAAAAGGTGAGCTACCCTCTGGTAATGACTAACATAGCTATGGTGATGTAGTGGTTTAACAATGGGTTAACAATGGTGAATAATGGGATGATCATGGGATATACCCTCTGGTTATGTCAAAATAGCTAATGAAAATGGGCATTTATAGTGAATTTTCCCATTAATAGCATGGTGATTTTCCATAGTTATGTGTATGTTTACCAGAGGGTAACCATTTACTAGGTCAATCTTACATGGATACTTTAATCCTTTAGTCTTTTGGTATTAATGGGAATATCTACTAACCAGCAAAGAATTTAACTTTTTGCAGGGTATCTAAGATTGGCAATGTTTAAAACAACTGGGTTTAACCATACAAAAAAATATCAACTGACATGGGGTTTCACATGGTTTTAACTGCTTCAACTCTGCAAAACCAGCCATGTATCATGTTCTTTTTGGCATTGAAAAGGGGACCAGTAATCATTGGATGATCATGGATATGTAATGATACGTAATGATACATAATGGGTATGTCATGGGACATTTCTGATACAACCAACAATATAAAATCTGGGTTTGTCCGGAAATACACATTTTTCGACATTTTTTGGTCCGGGAACATAATGAACCAGGATTTTGGGGTATCCTATTCGAAGGATGGATGATGAACACCTCCTTTTGGCCTCTGGTAATCTGACATCGATTTGGAAAACCAGCATCTTCAATTGGTAAATCATCAAACTCTATGGCCCATGAATCATGGTAAACTGTTGTTTCGATTCA